AATTCGGATTCTAAAGGTCTGAAGCCAGGTGTTTTTTTTTTCACAATCTAGAAGATTTGATATTAGCATTGCTCTCAGAACCACCAATCTGGGCTTAATGGGAAGTAGACAAAATCCAGAACTCTGGAAGACAGGAGGCAAAAGTGAGTTCCTGGGAGAAATTGTTGCAAAACTTGTAGATGATTTTTTTCTGTCCAACATACTTCCCAGCTTGAATGTTTGCTCACTGTATTAATTCAGACTCATCTCTCTAAATCTCATCTCAAGAAAGAAAACCTTCATCCGGGCGTTGGTGGCGCACACCTTTAATCCCAGCACCCAGGAGGCAGAGGCAGGCGGATCTCTGTGAGTTTGAGGCCAGCCTGGTCTACAGAGCTAGTTCCAGGACAGCCTCCCAAGCCACAGAGAAACCCTGTCTCGAAAAACCAAAAAAGGAAAAAAGAAAGAAAACCTTCCTGTGAACACAGAGTAGAAATCCTCTGGCCCAGCAATTTGACAGCATCACAGACACTTGCATATTATTAGACTATTTAGAAATATGCTCTCAAGTTCTGAGGTTGTCATTCTGCAGTGTTATTTTGATACCCTGACAAGATATTTTTGGAGCAACAAGCCCAAATTAAAACGTTGTGACAAACACAGTGAGATTAACTAAAAACTTCATTAAAGTAGAAATACAGCAAATATTTGGTTAAGAGCAGGGTAAATAACTACAGAATATATTTTGAGAACTGTTTGGAGAGTAGCAGAAGATAAAGAGATATTTACGGCCTGTATTCTTAGAGGGATCTACATCTTGTCAGTCAGAGCGGTAAGGCCTTTGCCTTACAGCCTGTTTTGACAGGCCCAGATGTCTTGGATTGGTCCAGGTAGAGCTAATCCCCTGTCCGCACCTCAGGGGAAGCCTATATAGCACTTGAACTTCACTGTATGTGGTCATGAAAGCTCTGGACTTACTTTAATCTCCAGGTGTCTTCTGCACCTGTCTGCTCAAGACTAGTCCTGTATGTGACATTTCTCAGTGCCTCTATTTGAAGGCTTCCATGACTTAGACTTAAAGACCTATTTAACCCCAAAGCCACTGCTGGAAAGGTGCGCACACCTCCATTATACCTGCTAGAGCCTGCTTCCCAAAGTCTTTAATGACTTTTCACGTACAGTTTGCTGCACTGTCAAAGCTTCATGGATTCCCTCAAGCATCATCTGAAGTGATGATTCAGACCCTGATGACCTTGCAGTAGGGGTGCCTTGGCCCTCATCTGGGATCTGTAAGCACTTTTTGCTGCTACAGTACTATGGCTATGTTAAGAATTTGAATGTCCTTCCTTTTCTAGGGGTCTTAATATAATTTTAGTTATATAACTGAGTATTTTACCTTAAAATTTCCTCTTTAGCAATTCTAAGGATACCCTTACGTTTCTCATCAAAGAAAGCGATAGTGGACAGTTCTTTGGGGGTGGGAATGGGTATTCCTTTTTTTTTAATATTTTATTTATTTATTATGTATACAGTCTTCTGCCTGCGTGACAGCAGAGGGCACCAGATCTCATTCAAGGTGGTTGTGAGCCACCATGAGGTTGCTGGGAATTGAACTCAGGACCTCTGGAAGAGCAGTCAGTGCTCTTAATCGCTGAGCCATTTCTCCAGCCCGGGGATGGGTATTTCTGTGCCACTCAGAAAGCAGGGGAGAAAAACAGATCTTCATTTCTGTGAGGCAAAGTTCAAGGAGATGCTAAGAACTGTTTCCCATGCCTACTTAATTCAGGGTACATAACAAGAAGTTGGGAGCTCTGTCTTGTGGACCTTGGTAGGGAGTGACACATGATCAGTATGAGACCAGTCTGTGCAGTAAAGGAGAATGCCAACCTGCATAAAACGGAGTGTGGACAAAGCAGCAGGCCTCACCTCCCAGACCCCTCACAGATGTCTAATAAACATGGTAGCTGTTTTAAAAAATTTTTTTGAATTGGGGGAAGCCGGGTGTGTTGTGTGTGTGTGTGTGTGTGTGTGTGTGTGTGTGTGTGTGTGTGTGTGTAAGTCAGAGGACAGGTTTTTGTTTGTTTTTCAAGAAAGGATTTCTCTATGTAGCCCTAGCTGTCCTGGAACTCACTCTGTAGACCAGGCTGGCCTCAAACTCAGAGATCTGTCTGCTTCTGCCCCTGGGATTAAAGGAATGTGTCACCACCATGTTGCCAGAAGACAGTTTGGGAGATGATTCTCTCCTTGCACTTGTGGGTCCAAGCTATCAGACTTGGAGGCGAGGCCCTTGTCCCTGAGCCATCCCGCCATCCCATGGTGTGTAGCTTTAGAACGAGTGCTGCGAGGAATAACATTGTTAAATGAGTTGACTTGCCCTACAGAGTGATTTTATGCTGGCCAATTAAATTTTGATGTGTGTTTCCCAAAAGCAATGGGATTTGTGTTTGGTTTTAGTTAATGTTGTATGGGAGCCATTCTTTGTTATCAGTTGTCTCTTCAGGCTCCTCCCCATGTTTGATAATAGAGCCATTATGTAAAAGGCGCAGCTCTCCAGAGCTTAGGACTTGCTGGAGGCTTTTGAAGTGAAAGGGAAGTGTTGAAGAGAACAAACAGCCTTTTGTTTCTCTCTTTTGAAATATAGATGTGTGTGTGTGTGTGTGTGTGTGTGTGTGTGTGTGTGTGTGTGTACTGTGAGTAGTAAACATGTATATATTTATTCAAATCTTTGTTTTTACTGTTCTTCAGTGTTGGTCATATCCATGTCAGTTTTGTATTGTAATGTGCATGCCTGTTTTATTTATTTATCTGTTTTTAGACAGAATGTCGGTATGTAGCTGGGTGACTAGCACTCGGTCTGTACAGACCATAGGCCAAGCTGGACTTGAACTTGTAATAGCCCTCCTCCTCCCTCCTCCTGGTGCTGAGATTACAGCCCTGTGTGTTTGGTTTCTGTGGTGCTGAGCATGACACCCAGGACGTTCTGCATTAGCAAGCACTTTACCCACTGAGATGCTCCCTGAGCTGTCTGTTATGCTTCCAATTTTTAATAATGCTATTTAGGTTTCCTCCAAGACAGAATTTCTCTGTGTAACAGCCCTAGCTATCCTGAAACTTGCTCTGTAGACCAGGCTGGCCTCAAAATCAGAAATTCCCCTGCCTCTGCCTCCAGAGTGCTGGGATTAAAGGTGTGTGCCACCAACGCCCAGCTTCAATATATTCTACTTTTTATATTTTGGCTTTTGAGACAGATTTTGCTGTGTATCCCAGACTTGCCTTAAACTTACAACAGTCCTACTGCTTCAGCCTTTTGAGATCCCTGCCCTGCCCAGCTTACAAGTACAAAAACTAAGCAGGGTGGAAAAAAATCCTCTTTGATATTTTGAAGTGTACACTCCAATACCCTTTCCAGTGTATATCCAAAACTGGAATTGTGCCTGCCACACATGCTTATTCCACCCCCATCTCACTTCTCAGTAGGTATAGCTATAGAATAACACTTGAACATATGTGACAGATATGTGTCATAACATTTTAGTTATCCTATTGATGACATTTCCAGAATGGTTTCCAGAATGTCACTGTTGTCAAATCTTTTTCTCCTTAGGACTATCCCTAGAATGGACAAAGGTAATGCTTGTTTTATATCCTCAAACTCATGGTTTGACAATTTCTACTCCCCATAGAGTGTCTAGAAGGCATTCTTTTGCCTTCCCCTAACCAACATAATTGTCCTTAGCTACAAAATAATCCTTAGGGAACAGATCTCCCAAAGTGAGGGCAAAGAAGTAGGAACTGTGATTGTCTCCGTCCCCTCCCCACAATTTCCTAAACGTAATGGTACAGGGAATAGGAATAGAGAATAGTTAAGAGTTTCTGGACAGAAAAGGAACTCACCAAAATCCCAGGGTCTCCTAGCTTCCAAGCCTTGAAGCTGTCAAGAGCCACCGTGTCCTGTCCTGTGGGACTAGATGGACAGAGAGAAGACTCTATTGGCGGACAGTGGCCAGACCCAGTGGCCACCAACAACGAGGGAGAACATGATCAAACCGGGTGGGGGAAAATGGCTCTCCAGCCCCTGAAGACATCCAAAAGGTCCTGGCGATAGAATGAATCCAGCAGCAACGGTCTTTGCACCAGGTAACTAGCTGTGCTAGTTGCTGAAGAACGCGAGGGGGCACTGGTGCCCTGGTAGGGACGCGAAGAGTCCGGACTGAGGCTGGAGCTTCTGATCGCCTACCAGCCAGGCCCATCTTGCAGCTGCAGACGCTGTTGACAGTGTTTGCTCCCAGAAGCCCGCGGGCATGCGGAAGGGAAAAGAGAATCCGACAAAAAAGCCTTGCACCTGTTTCAATGACCACTGACCTAAGGCAAGAGATAGGACCTGTCTACCCGGGCTCTTTATGAAACACTGTTGGTCAGTACTTAGCACCTATCCCCCGATAGGTTTTGGTGAGGATTAATGAAATACACGTTGGCTGTACTTTGTAAATACCCTTGAAGCTACCCAGTTATCCCTCGGCACACCAGTTTGTTAACGTGGTGGCTATAGGGACTAGCAATGTATTTCAATAGAGATTTATTATATTCCATTTTCTTTAGGCACACCCTTTAGTCATTAGTTCTGGAAAAGACTGTTACAACCCCCAACCCACCTCACCTCCACCAACACATTCTCTCAAGAAGCCCCTGGTGTAACTACAGAGGCAGGAGTGGTATCCATCCAGGAAAATTACTTCGAAAACCTTACCAGGGTTTAAAATCAATAGCGTCTGGCTGGAGGTGCACCATCCGGACAGCTGTGAGCCGACAAAAAAAAAAAAAAAAAAAAGGGTGTTGGGGGTGGGGTGGGGCTGGGCACCCAGCACACCCGGCTCACTTACTCACTTACTGAGTTGAGTTCCTGGTTGGGGGAGATGGTTGGTGGCCATCCTGAGGCATGAGTGGACAGGATAGAAAGAGACCTGAGCTCTGTGTTGGCAGTTGCCATGGTTTTGCTCCGAGTTCTGGAGCCGACCTGTCCCACTACTTGGGGAACTCAGGTCACAGAAGCAGTGGGTTAGAAGCCCTCGGGGTACCTAAGGAGTGCTGTCCTGGAGCCTGCTAGCCAAGCTGTTGAGATGGAAGCCTCAGAGAGGCAAGGGAGTGAAACAGACGAGCCATTCCAGAAGGTGAAGTGAGACTCCGTGGGAGGGAGCCAGGAGAGGGGCTGGTTTTGGAAAACCATGAACATAAAATTCAGGGAAGATGATAAGAAAAAAAAAATGGTGGTGTATGTGAATCAGCAAGAGCCCCCAAAGAATAACAGAGCATAATTCTTTTGAACAGTTGGGCTATGGTGTAGCTTAGTAGTAGAGAGCTTGCCCTAGTCCTGGGTTCAATTCCCCAGAACCACAGAGCGAGGGATAAGTGGTAAACACTTATCAAAGATGTGTCTCTGGCAAGATGATGGGAAGTGCCATTTTACTGTTAGTTAGGAAGGCTCACCCGTGCCTACGTGAGCGTACATATGTGTTATGGTCTGTGTGCAGTTATATGGCTGTGCTTATGGAGTTAGCCAGAGTCCCCACTCTCTTCAGTTGGGAGGAACCTGCCCTTTACCTTTCCCAGAGCTTCCCTTCAGAGTGCTCTGAGTGTGGCTCTTCCTCTCTGAACACAGACAGCAAGTAATCTAATTGTCCTGAGAGACTGTGAAAACGGGAGGGTACACTGGCAGTGGTGGCGCCCGCCTTTAATCCCAGCATTCAGGAGGCAGAGGCAGGAGGATCTCTAAGGCCAGCCTGGTCTGCAGAGTGAGTTCCAGGACAGCCAGGGCTACATAGAGAAACTGTCTCAAAATACAACAACAACAAAATGAGGAGCGGTCTATTCTGTGCAAAGTTTTAGTAACATTTTACAGCTACTTGTCACCACGAATTTTCTTTCTTTCTTTCTTTCTTTTTTGGTTTTTAGAGACAGGGTTTCTCTGTATTGTTTTTGGAGACTGTCCTGGAACTCGCTTTGTAGACCAGGCTGGCCTTGAACTCACAGAGATCTGCCTGCCTCTGCCTCCCGAGTGCTGGGATTAAAGGTGTGCGCCACCAACGCCTGGCTCGAATTTTCTTTTCAGTTCCCTTTGCTCCACTTTTGTGCACAAGACCCCTGATAATCACCACCTTATTTAGTGGTGCCCTCCAGATGCATGCTGTAATGCTAAAATTCAGAGGGGTAGATACGGGCCTGGGACTGCAATGAGGGCCAAATAAAAGGAAAAGCAGTTGCTGTCCATGCCCTTAAGGAGTCAAAGAATTCTTTCAATGCCTCACTATTATTATAATCAGAGCTAATGGCAGCTAACCTCAAAGAGCTTGAGGAAAAAGAAAGTGAGCTAATGTTTATCAGGAGTTTTTTTTGTTTTTTTTTTTTGTTTTTCGAGACAGGGTTTCTCTGTATTGTTTTGGAGGCTGTTCTAGAATTCACTCTGTAGACCAGGCTGGCCTCGAACTCACAGAGATCCACCTGCCTCTGCCTCCCAAGTGCTGGGATTAAAGGCGTGAGCCACCAACGCCCGGCTCTTATCAGGAGTTTTGTAAAGTTTTCTAGTATAGCCAAGAATTATTGGGGGGAAAATTCGATGAACTATTCTAGGTTTTCTAAGCAGAGGTTTTCAGAGGTGGCTTGCTTTTGACCAGGCTTACTCTCTGAATGGAGAATGGAGCAGGGTTTGGCTGTCAAAGTATTTGCCAAAATCTGCCCAGCACTGGTCCTCAGGCCCAAGCCCCTCACTGACTGCCACCTCCTTCCAGGTGGGGAGTGTTCCCTGCTTAGAGAAGAGCTCCAGAACAATCCCCACCGGAGATGCTCTGGTCCGCCATGCCAAGGGCCTGAGCCAGGACACCTTCAAAATTGTAAGGGGCTCTCCTGGAACCCTGTCCCTACTAGCCTGGGAGGACTCAGGAGGTGTCCCTACTAGCCTGGGAGGATTCAGGAGGTGTCCCTTCTAGCCTGGGAGGACTCAGGAGGTGTCCCTACTAGCCTGGGGGGACTCAGGAGGTGTCCCTACTAGCCTGGGAGGACTCAGGAGGTGTCCCTACTAGCCTGGGAGGACTCAGGAGGTGTCCCTTCTAGCCTGGGAGGACTCAGGAGTTGTCAGATCCAATTCCAACACCTAATCTGTCACACTCAGGATGGAAGTGGGTGGGAAATTCACTGGAGCCTTCTCACCACACAGCCCTTTCTGAGCCCCGAAGGAAGGACTGCAGTCAGGACAATTTGCCAGACACTTGGGACTGCCCACCTGCCCTTCTTCCTGCCTCTCAGCCCTCACCTTCCTTGTGACTCCTCAGTGTAAAGAATACCTGAGGCCTCAGAAGAAGTTCCTGCGGAAGCTGAACTTGCCCAAGGGCCTTTCCCAGAAGAGGCGGATCAAGTACACAAAGCAGAGCCTTGAGGCCCTGGGGGACCACATCAACACCTTCCTGCAGCATTACTGCCGGGCCTGGGAGATCAAGCACTGGAAGAAGTAGGCTGCCTCCTTGCCTTATCCCACCCCAGTCAAGATTATGCTATTGTCAGGATCCTCTGGTCATGGAGAGGGCTAAGATCCTGGGAAACAGCAGATGTTTAAACAGCAGGGACCTCTAGCCACCAGGGCAGCCCTGATTGTTCCTTAGCTGTACACACAGTAGACACAAGTCTTTGACAGGAGCTTCCAGATGCCTCAGTAAGTGAGACATTTGTTAGTAAGCCTGAGGACCTGAGTTCTGTCCCCCTGGATCCACGAGGTGCAAGGAGACATCCACTCCTATTTGTTGTCCCCAGACCTCCATGCATGCACTGTCGCGCATGCACACACACACACACACACACACACACACACACACATTCTCACATTCACACACACACTCACACACACATATGTGTGCACACTCACACACAGGTTTTTAAGGCCCTCCTGAGAAGAGCCTGGAGGTGAATGGCTGCTGTGTGCAGCATATGACATTTCTCTCCACCTCCATCCCCTCAACCTGAAACTGAGAAAGCAACTGGCAGTCCATTTCTTCTGGGTAGATCTGGTCACAGGCAGAGCAGAGGGAGAAGGGTTCAACCTCTCAGTCTGGCCTCGGTTTTGTCTCTGCAGGATGCTCTGGCGGTTTGTCTCCCTCTTCTCAGACCTGGAGTCAAAGCAGCTTCGCCGTCTCTATAAGTACACCAAAACCAATCAGACAGTCAAGTTCCTGGTGAGGCTTTCCAGAAAGCTCCTGAGGCCCAGCAGGAGTTTGGTGGATGCTGAGGGGAGGACTTCAGGCAGAGAGGCCCTCTGATACCTGCCCCTCTTGTCCCTTCCAGAGCTCTCTGCTGAGGAAGCGCCACACTCACACCTCCCCCATACTACGCCCTGAGGACATGACTAGGGCCACCAAGTCATGACATTTATTCCTCTTCCATACTCACACTGTGGATTTGGCAGGGACAGGGACATCCTGAGCGTGGGTGAGGACAGTTGAGGCCAACCAGGGCCTGAACACAAAACTTAGCCTACTTCTGTCCTCTCAGGGTGGTTGTCAAGCTACCCTAATCTCAGGACACGGTTATTTCCTGAGATCAGTGAGAACTCCAAAAGACATGCTTGTGTGGTTATAGCTATTCAAAGTTACCCTGTTAGAGATTAGAGGTAAGAGAATTTTAATGTGTATTTACTAAATTTTTTAAAATTAAAATAGGAAGTATACACAAATAGTCTATGAAAAAGTAACTTTGCTTTCCAGAAATTTCAGAAAAGTAGTAGTGTTTTCAGCTCTCTTTAGTATCTGGCTCAAGGGAAGCAGCTGCAATTTCAGGTGTGATTCAGTAGTTAGTCTCTGGTGATATATTGTCTTTGTTGAAGCACACAGAAGTACGGCCTCATACAAATATATGTTTAGAAAAGAGCAGATATTTTTATTTGCTGTCATACCAAAAATGAAACAAATAGTAGTTTCTTAATTGTGGTGTAGTGGTAAACTTTCTTGTTAAGATTTATTTATGTATTATGTATGCAGTGTTCGGTCTGTATGTATGCCTACATGCCAGAAGAGGGCAGCAGATCTCATTACAGATGGTTGTGAACCACCATGTGGTTGCTGGGAATTGAACTCAGGGTCTATAGAAGAACAGCCAGTGTTCTTAACCTCTGAGCCATCTCTTCAGCCTGGGAAACTTAATAGGCAGCCAGGTAGTAATGGCAGTGGCAGTGGTGATGCACATCTTTAATCCCAACACTCAGGAAGCAGAGACTGGTGGATCTCTGAGAGTTTGAGGCCTGCTGGTCTATAAAGCAAATTCCAGGGCAGCCAGGGCTACACAAAGAAATGCAGTCTCAAAAAATCAACCAGCCAAACAAACAAACAAAAAGAACCCATAGGCTTTGTTTGTTTGTTTTGAAACAAGATCTCCCTTGAACTCACTATGTAGCCTAGGCTAGTATCAGATCTACAGTCTGGCTGCCTTAACCTCCTGAGTGCTGGGATACAGGAAGTGTGCCACTATGATCAGCTAAAATAATGAATAAACTTTTATCCAGCTATAGTGACCCATACCTTCAATCCTAGCACTGGGAGGCAGAAGCCAGTAGATCTCTGTGATCTGTGAGTTTGAAGACACCCTAGTCTACATAGTGAAGTCCAGGCTGGCCAAGACTACATAGACCTAGTCTCAAAAAGTAATAAGAGCCGGGCGTTGGTGGCTCACACCTTTAATCCCAGCACTTGGGAGGCAGAGGCAGGCGGATCTCTGTGCATTCGAGGCCAGCCTGGTCTACAAAGTGAGTTCCAGGACAGCCTCCAAAGCTACAGAGAAACCCTGTCTCCAAAAACCAAAAAAAAAAAAAAAAAAAAAAGTAATAAGAAAGCCTGGCAGTGATGGCTCACGCCTTTAATCCCAGCACTCGGGAGGCAGAGGCAGGAGGATCTCTGTGAGTTCGAGGCCAGGCTGGACCGACAACCTCCAAAACAATACAGAGAAACCCTGTCTCGCAAAAAAAAAGTAATAAGAATAATAAGAATAGACTTAAACCACTTTAAAGGACAATCAGTGGAAAGTTTGTGTCCAGTTCCTGCCACCCACATTTCCATTGCTTCCCCAGCCATAGAAAGTTTCTTTAGGCACATTTGTCAAGACTTAGTAAGACAACCCTGATAGACCCTTGCTAGAGAAGACCTGTAATTTACATTAGGATTTAGGGTTTGTGTTGTATATGTTTTATAGTTTCTATTTAACTTCTAAAACTTTTAAAATTAACATTAATTATACAAATAAGTTTTAAATTTTTCACACGTGTATAAAATGTGTTTTGATCATATTTCATACGTGTATATATACGTGTATATGTGTTTTGATCATATTTCACACGTGTATAAAATGTGTTTTGATCATTTTCACTCTCCACATCTTTCTCTTACCTCACCTCACACACGCACTCTTACTGATCTTTTCCCAACTAACTTCCTCCTCCTCCTTTTATCTTTTTTTTTTTTTTTTGGTATGTGGCCCAATAAATTCAGAGTTGATTATAGCAACATGGGTAAGGGGTTATTTGCAGAACATAGGCAACTTAACAGTGACACACCAATGGAAAAAAATGTCCCTCCTCTCTGGGCATCCATTGACAGTCTATAGATTCTCAGGAGGGTGGGGCCCTGTGAACTCCTCTGACTTTTTTTAAACCCAGTCTTGCTTTTGAGTCCTTGTTGACCCCAAATTTACAGTCCCGGTGCCTCGCCCTCCCAAGTGGTGGGATGATAGGCATGTACCACCACATCTTGCTCATGTCACAGGTTTTGGTAAATGTATGGTAAATGTCCCTACCCTAGCAGTGTCTTTCAGAGTAGGTACACTACCCCAGTCTTCTGTGATCCATTTACTGCCCACTGCCCTCTCCTTCCTTCTGAGAGCTCTTGGCAAACTGCTCTTTCCACTGCTCTTAAAGTTTTGTTTTGTTTTTGTTTTTTTCTGAGACAGGGTTTCTCTGTGTAGGCCTGGCTATCCTAGAAACTCGATCTGTAGACCAGGCTTGCCTCAAACACACTGAGATCCACCTGCCTCTGCCTCCCAAGTGCTGGTGTTAGAGGTGTGCACCACCACTGCTGGCTGCCCTCACACAGTTTCCCCTTCTCAGAGATGTATCAGGAACTGTCCACATTGTGTTTCACTAGAACCCACTGGCCTGTCACTTGCTTGTTGAACAGCTCTAGCCTTCTGAGGAGTCTCTCAAGGCTTCAGAGCATACTTTGAGAGCCTCTGGTTCAAAAGACTAATCCTAAATAGCAGCAGTGTCAAGCACTTTCTGTTCCTTCCTGTGATCTTCACAAGTCACTCTAAGTAGCAATTAGAGCTATTACTCACCATTTGTAAATGAAACATCCAAAAGCAGGGAGTGAGATAGCTGTGCCAGAGCACACAATGGGGAAGACAGCCAGGACAGCCAGGACAGCCAGGACAGCCAGGACAGCCAGGACGCAATCTGTTTCCCTGTACGAAGCCAGCCCTGGCCTGCTCCGCCAACACTCCCCTCACTGCTTCTCTGCTGCAGTTCTCCAACATGAATGCTTGCATTGTTTTGTTAATTCTTTTACTTTTCCTTCTATTTATTTTTGTTTTGCAATGCTGGGGTTGAATTCAGGGCCTCACACAAGTAGGCAAGTGCTCTACTGCAGATTTATCTACATAGCCCCATCTTTTTTTTCAGAGAAGACAGTGAGGTGGTGTCCTGCTATGTTGCCCAGCACACTCTGACTCCAGGGTTGAATGATCCTCCCACCTTAGGATACAGTCAGCTGTCAGCTGATACTATTTGTTTTTCACTTGGTGTCTGGCACTAGTAGTTCCTTTTCTACTTATAAGATGTTGATGTTATGGTGACTCATGGATTTCTGGGTTTCACTGGCCAGGATAACTTCAAAATATATCTTCAGACTCTCAATTTAATTTTTTTAAAGTTATGATGTAAAAAAGAAAACAAGCACAACTGTTTCATTACAAACAAGCAAACAAGACACCATTACTCTCAAAGAAAAAATTGGAAGGCTTAACCTTACAATAAAAGGTAGCCTGACTGCAGCGTGGGGATAGCAGAGTAGCTGCTCTGCACGCATGAAGCCCTGGTGTCCATCCTCAGCACTGCTGTAAACGAATGACGTGAAACATCTGGGTGCAAGGATACATGCATGGTCATAGCCTTCTGTAGGCTGACACAGCAGGGTTGTGCTTGGACTTCTTTTTTTTGTTTTCCGAGACAGGGTTTCTCTGTATTGTTTTGGAGGCTGTTCTGGAACTCGCTCTGTAGACCAGAGCTGGCCTTGAACTCACAGAGATCCACCTGCCTCTGCCTCCCGAGTGCTGGGATTAAAGGCGTGCGCCACCAGCGCCCCGCCGTGCTTGGACTTCTTAGCATGCATAAACCTACCTAGAAGACACAATTGTCTGCCTAGCCCTCCATAAATCCCAGTTTTTCTGTGACTCCCACCCCATCCTTTTGGCTAAGCAAATGTGAGATCCCACAGTTTCTCAGTAGCTGGGGCTGGGGTTGGGAAAGGCTGGTACTGTAGGATTTAGGCCCCTCTCTTCTCCAGCCTCTCCTCAACAATGGACCGAATTTCAGGTCGCCTTCTGTCCCTTGGATACACCAGAGAGATACTTGCTGGCCAACCAGGAGGACAGTCTTCCCAGACTCTGCAGCGCCTGGGGGTTGCATGGAAATATCAGCGGTATGAAGGAGAGGTTGTCCAAGATGCAGGCCCCTGGCCAGGAGGCTGGCATGCTGGTGGAGCCAAGGTCCACATACTGCTTCGGAGGAGGTGATGCCCACGGGGTGTGAGGGGAGGTACCTGGGTGAGGGGCTGCCGAGAAGTTGGGGGTTTATGGGGATCAGGCTGGAGCATCCTATCTGAGGCTGACAAGCCATCTTTCTTCTTCTTTCTATCATCTCTTCCTTCTGTGCTGATCCTTCTGTCATTTCCTTCCCCTTCTTCAGTCTCTTCTCTATCTTTAGCTCCTCCCCAGATATATTCATTATAGAATCTTTAAAATATGCACATAAATGTGGGAAAAAACAAAAAATATCCAATACCCAGAGGCCAGAACTGTTGGCATTTACTGTAGTTCCTTCAGTGTTTTATGTAAGCCCCCCCTCCCCTGCAGAGGCCTCAAAGTACATACATTTTGAACCCTGTATTTTTTTTAAAGATTTATTATGTACACACTGTTTTGCCTGCATGTCAGAAGAGGGCACCGGGTCTCATTATAGATAATTGTGAGCCACCATGTGGTTGCTGGGAATTGAATTCAGGACCTCTGGAAGAGCAAGCAGTCTTAACCTCTGAGCCATCTCTCCAGCCCGAACCCTGTATTTTTTAGGTAACTGTGTAAAGGCCCTTTCTCAAATGACTAGAAGCAGGATGGAGTTTCTAAGTGCTGTGAGTATGGATCCTCGGGGGTGTTGGATAGCAGTAGCAGGGTACCCACTCTGATGTCGTGGAATAAAGGTAAAATGGAAGGAACTCATGCTTACAGTGAGCTAGATGGCAAGGGAATGGCCTTCTCAGCCACTTTGACTTCTGTGGTGACCAAAATGGTTGGTTATCTGCACGGGGCTGTGGTCTTAGGAGATGTCGCCTTTTAAACAAAAGAAGAGGCCAGTGAAAGGTGGGAACCTGTGAGGGTCCCTGCTGTACAACCAGGCCAGAGAGACTTGGCATACATCCTGGCACACATCCACCTCTATACTTCTAGAACTGGCTTCTGTGCCCCAGTTAGCTGTTCTTGCTTTGTTCCGGTTGAGGGAGATAAAGGCTAGCATGGTAGTCTGGAGAACTCAGTGTAGCCCTAACATGGACTCTATGGCTCTTCTGAGGGCGTGGCTGTTGGAGCTCATGAAAGGCGGCCTCGGGCATCTCTTCCATAATCCCACTGGGCACAAGAGCAGCTGTGAAAACAGCTCAGAGGCAGTAAGCCTGAATCAAACACCTAGTGAGGCCCAGATCTGTGTCTGAGGGCCCACGTGTAGTCTTGGTGCCTACAGTTTAAACTGAGGAAATAAAGCACACACTGGGACTTCAAAGAGTAAAGGCCAGGCCATAACTAAGGTGCTTCTAGGGAAGCATTGCATGAGGAGAGTGAGTTCTGTGTTCTTGCCAGCTTGTATCTGGGCCAGGTGCCTTGTGTTTTCCTGTTGTCCCTGCAGCGTCCTGATGAGGTAGGCAGGAGTAAGTGTCTCCCTTTAGAGATGAGCTCTTCATGGAGCAAAGAGAATGGTAGCCAGGAAGCGCTTTGTGCAGGAGGTGGCTTTGGACAAGCTTTAAAGAAGAAACCAGGAGAGCAGTGGAGAGAAGACAAAGGAGAGTGAGAAGTGTGTGGAGACAGAGAGACAGGCCAGGGCCAGCAGAAGTGAGACAGATGGAGAGTGTAGAGTAGAGAGGTATAGGCAGGATATACCCTGGGAAAAGCTCTGGATGGTGGATTGAGTGGTAAGAGATCAAACCAAGGCTGTCATGTACTATATCCCTGAGCTACATCCCCAGCACCTCCAAGAAAGGATTCAGATAAGTATTGTCACACATGGTGGCTTGTGCCTGTAATCCCAGCACATGGGAGACTGAGACAGGAGACTTGCCATGAAACTGAGATCAGCCTGCACTACATAGTTTCCAGACCAGTCTGGGTTATCGTGTTAGAAAACAAATATGGGCAGACAAAATGACGCAGTGAATAAAGACACTTGTGACTACGTCTAATGAGCTGAGTTTTATTTCTGGGATCCACAGAGTAGGAAAAGAGAACCAATTGCTGAAAATTATTCTATGACCTCTACACGCATGTACTTTGGCCATGTGTCTTCCCCATAAATAGTAATTTTAAGAATTTAAAACAAACCCAGGCAGTGACACCTTTAACCCCAGCACTGGGGAGGCAGAAGCAGGTGGATGTCTTTGAGTTTGAGGCCAGCCTGGTCTACAAAGTGAATTCCAGGACAACCAAACAAGACAAAACCTTTTTTCTTTATTTTGAGACATGGTCTCATATAGTCCAGGCTGGTCTCAAACTCACTGTGTAGTTAAGGATGACCTTGAACTCAGCCCACTGCCCCAACCTTGCAAGTGTTAAGATTTGACAGGCCACCTGATTTATGTGGTGCTGGGGATCAAGCCCATGACTTTATGCAAGCTACCTCACCAGCCTACTTTCTTTTTATTATTATAAAAATTGAAAGTATTATGGAAAACTTAAAATAGGTAGATACAGACTTTACATTGTCACCATCCACACATATGAGACTGTGCTGTATATGTGATTTTGGAGTGAGCTTGAGACAGGGGTCCTCTGTGTAGCCTTGGCTGTCCTGGAACTCACTCTGTAGACCAGTCTGGCCTCAAACTTCCAGAGATCCTTCTGTCCCTGCCTCCTGAGTGTTGGGATTAAAGGCGTGCACCACCACCACTGCCTGGCTGTATATGAGATTTTGATCTTAACTTGCTTGGTGTTTGGGAGGGGGAGCCTGTGTCACATGTGTAGGGAATAGATGAAGCTCCTCAGTCACTTCTCCAACCTTGTTTATTGAGGTAAGGGTCTCTCACTGAATCTGGAACTCTCTGATTGGCTAGACTAGCTAACTGAGATGCAGGAATCTTCCAGTTTCTACTTCCCCATGATGGAATCACAGCTGTGTGCCATAACCAATGTTTTATATGGCTTTTCCATGGCTTGTTATTAGTGGTGAGAAGTGAGAGGGGAGCAGGGAGAAGTCAAGAAGGCTTGAGGTTTGCTCCTGACTGTGCTCTAGCTAGCCATAAAGGTTTGGACACGCCACATCCTTGCTCTACGCTTGGACAAGCATCCTCACCTGTAAAGGGGATGGCGGTGGTGATGATGTCATCTCTCTACCTCACAGGTTTCAGTGAAAAGGAAGAGAAAGGGACACAGTTGGCAAGGAGACAAAATCTTCTTATTCCTCTATTCTTTACACCTCTGCATCTGTTCCTGAGGTTTCTTACTGGTTGTTGTATCATTGAAACCCTCTCCGACTTCTGTTCTTTCAGATTCCTTAAGGAAACTTCCTCCAAAACCAAAACTGAAGAAAAAGCAGATTAAAGAAAGCTCAGAAACTCCCAAGAGCTACTGCTACCTATGAGAAGACCCACAGGCATGGAGGCCAGCTCTCCCTGGTTCTCTGAGCACTTGCATGTACTCTCTAGGGGGAGAGGGGATTGAATAGGGTAGGGAAAATTTACTTTATCAAAGGGATACTCAGTTTTTAATTATGAATAAATGGGTTGGGGAATAATAATCCTTAAGACAATTCTACTTCACTTGGTGAACTTTATTCATCTTTTATTTGGGTCTCTGTGTGTTTAAGGCCAGTCAAAGCTACACAGTAAGAGCCACTTCCTAAGTGGCAGATAGCCTGCCTGCGCACAGATAAATAGTTGTGGCCACCCGTGTGGAGGGATATCTGGGTTCAGTGGGGAGAAAGAACAAAGAGGCTTATGAATGCTAGTCACAGGGAAGCACAGGATAGGATACCTGATTGAACTGGGCTACTCAGTGAGACTTCAGCTCATGGGTAGCTTGGGCCAGGTGATGGAAGGAAGGAGAGATGCAATGGAATGAACTGGGGTCACTTGGGTATTGGGAAGATTTCCAGGTGACCGTGAGCCAAGTATATGAAGGGGAGGGAGACGAGAAACAGAATCCCAAAGAAGAAACATTGTCTTAACAGAATGGTGATTTGGGCCAGTGGTCAAAAATTGGCAGCTACTAATGCATTTAATTCCTAATGATGAGTTCCACTTTTTAACATCATTGCAAAAGTACTAGTTGCCAGCGGGGCATTGGTGGCGCATGCCTTTAATCCTAGCACTCAGGAGGCAAAGGCAGGTGGATCTCTGTGAGCTTGAGACCAGCCTGACTTACAAGAACTAGTCCCAGGACAGCCTCCAAAGCCACAGAGAAACCCTGTCTCAAAAAACCAAAAAAGAAAGAAAGAAAGAAAAAAAAGAAAGAAAGAAAAACCTAGTTACCAATATTACAACTGCATTGTTTCCCATTAAATGCAACATCAAATTTCTGGCTTCTCATACAGCTGTCTCCATTTGGATATGTATTCCTATATAACAGCCGGTGGAACTGAGGGGCGATTGCCTCAACTCGCTGGTGTGTTTCCTAGCCCAGCAGTCTCCTCCCATGCCTAGTACCTTGTACAACGGGCGTCTCACATCTACACCACCCGTGCAACTCTTGGGACCTTTAGTATTTGACATCCCCAAAGCCTGCAGAAGCAACACAGGTATGCAGCAAGAATGATGAACTTATGACTTTATGTAAGGTTAAAAATAATTTGCAGTAGGGCAGTGGTGGCGCACGCCTTTAATCCTAGCACTCAAGACGCAGAGGCAGGAAGATCTCTGAGAGTTCGAGGCCAGCCTGGTCTACAAATCGAGTTTCAGGACAGCCTCCAAAACAATAGAGAAACCCTGTCTTGAAAAACCAAAACCAAAAACAAAAACTTTGCTACTGATCAATGGTGTGTGTGTGTGTGTGTGTGTGTGTGTGTGTGTGTGTGTGTGTGTGTGTATACTCACGACCCTGCCACAGCTTGCTTGAGGAGGTTAGAGGACACTGGGAGTCCATTCTCCTGCCATATGGACCCAGGACGGAGCCCAGGATGTCAGGCTTGATAGCTAACACCTCTTCTGCTGAGCCATCTTGTCAGTCCTTTTTAATTTTCCAGCGCTGAAGATCAAAAAGGACTTTGTATATTCTAGACAACCTTTTACCTCTGAACCACACATATCCTCAGCAGTCAACTGATGGGTTTGAGCCACACCTGTGAGAGGCAAAGAAGTAACGGAGGAAGCTGGAAGCTGGAAGCTGGAGAAGGAAAGCAGGCACATTGTCTCAAGCCTCAGAAACCAGTTAATAGAGAAGTTGACCTTAGTGATTTTCTTTTTAAATTCACTTGTGTCTGTGTGAATGTATGGAGCATGAGGGATCCTCTGGAGCTGGAGTCATAAAAGTGGTTGTGAGCCAACTCCTGTGCATGCTAAGAACACCCACATCTTCCCCTGGGAGGGCCAGGAACACATTGAGCTGCTGATAGCCTTCTTTCTCTCCAGCCTCCAAGGCCCAGAAGGTCTGCCTCCCTCCCTCCCTCCCTCCCTCCCTCCCTCCCTCCCTCCCTCCCTCCCTCCCTCCCTCCCTTCCTTTTTGTTTGTTTTATGAGACTAGGTCCCTCTGTGTAGCTCCGACTGTCCCGTAGACCAGATTGGCCTCGAACTCACAGATAAACGCCTGCCTCTGCATCCTGAGTGCTGGCATTAAAGGCACGCACCACCACCGCCTGGCAACTCCTCTCTTCCTTTTACCCAGTGCTTCCCGTAAGCCCAAGAAGGGTCTGCAGGGGCCCTTGTTTAGCCTTTTGACGACTTTTGACAACAGGATTTGGGAGAGAGGTGCTGACAAGCTAGCTAGAAAGTGCGTGATGCTGAGGGGCTCTCTGCAAAACAGAGAGCTGGTCACTGTGTTGTAGCATCGCCACCTACAGGACCTGTTGTGAGTACCTCTGCCTTCCAATCAGGCTGCTGGGTGCAAAATGGAGAGCTTTCCCTACCCGCAACAAGGGAGACCAGGATTGGTGTCCTCTTAACTCTTTCCTCAAACTCAGTACGACCTTAGAATTCTAAAACAGCAGGTTTCTCTGCTCAAAACTCCAACGTTCCTCAATTCATCCGAAGACAGCGTCAGCTGGTCCTGGTGGTGCACACAATTTCAGCGATAGGGAGGAGAGGCGAGAGGTGAGGCAGGAGAGGAGGCTCGAGAGTTCCAGGAAAGCTTGTCTCAAAATAAACAAATAAAATAAATGAGGAAAATAGAGCCCAAGTCATCGCCAGGTTCTGCTAGATCTTCTACGATCCACTCCTACAACTCTTCAGCTTCTGCCCTAACCCTTGCTTTCCTCAGACTTGCCAGGCTTGTCGCTTTTTCAGTTATCTGTCACCGTGACAAAAATACATACCATAACGAACTTGCGAGGAGGAAAAATTGTTTAAATTAAATTTTAAGCATGCACATAAGTGTGTGACCCACGTGAGCCACAGCTCATCACATGCAGAAGCCGGAAGACAACTTGTTTATTGGTACATCTTGAGCAACTACAAATAGTAGTCACTTAAATTCTGTAGAATTAACAAATGAAAGAACACACACAAACACAAACAGTATTTTTTTAGCCACTGTCAGAGGAGAAAACAAAGCCCCCCCCCCCAAAATGTTGTCTCTTGAACCAGAAATCAGCATAAGAACTAGGTAGGACTTGGTACTGATGAGACATTGGCCGCAAATGGCAGCCCAGTGACACTGTGCCTCCTGCTCTCGGCCAGCCTGTCATTTTTCACAGCATGTAAATCACTGGCAAACTGATGTGTTTTTGTTTTTTGTTTTTTCATTCAAGTGTATGAATGTTTTGCCTGTTATGAAAGTAAGCCCAATTGCATGTGTACCTGGTGCCCTCTGAGGCCAGAAGATGGCGACAAATCCCTGGAACTAGAAATTCCAGACAGTTGAAGGTGTGAGCTATGCGAGTGCTCTGCACTGAAGGCAGGTCCTCCGCAAGAGCAACTAGTGCTCTTAACTGCTGAGCCACTTCTTCAACCCTCTCATGTATTTATTATTCCTAAGGTTAGTTGTTTGTTCTTAGCTAAGGTGTCTCCACCCAAAGTATGATGCTGTAGTGGTAGGAGACGCCAGAGAGTAGCTAGGGAGGCTGTTCAGAAGGGGAGCTAGCTGATACATCATACATCAACCTGTGCCCTTATGGTAAAACTAATTCTAGGTGGGAAACAAAAGAAAACACAAAACCAAGCAAAAACCAGGGCTCCTCCACAGTCTCTCCATAGCAGCCCTTCTATCCATGTCTGTGGTTCAGGAGTGGATGGAATGAGTGCTTTATCCTTTTCATTAGATTTCTATGTCAAACTTGTGAGCCAGATTTCCTTACGGTAGACAGGGAAGCAGGCAAAGAGGTTGGCACAGATGAGCCAGGACCCCCACTGTCAAGGCCTCCTGACTTCATTCTCAGCATTGCTCTTAACTTTCAGTGTCCCCTCTGAAGGATGTAGACATTTCCCATTTTTTATATGCTAAATCCCAAGTCTTTTGTTTTATGTGTATGTGTATTTGGAATTGTCACATTTTTCTCTTGGCATTCCAGTTTCAGTGTTTGCTCTAAACCACTGTCCTACCTAAGCTTATTTTGATTGACATCCTGCAGTAGGAATGCAGTGTGTATGCTTTTCCGTTGGCTGAATACTTGTCCATGGTTGTGAAAGTGTATTTATAGCCCGTAGCAATTAGAAAGCCATTTTGTCTATGACCATTTTAGATGTAGCTTTTTCTATGTCAAACCCATGGTTTACTTGGATCTATGTCCTTGATTTTCTGTTGTACTTTGTGGATTAGTTCTGTCATGTCAGGCTAAGATATAATGAAAAAGAACAGAAACCATAACAACAAAATTGGATGTAACAGGAGCAGATTTGAAAAGGAAGTATTTTTTGTTATTGTGGTTGTTTTACATTTATGTGTGTATGTAGCTCTGGCCTGAACTGACACTATGTAGACCAAACTCTTGTAGACCCCCTGCCTCTGCTTCTTCCGTACTGGGAGTAGAGTGTGCTCCTGTACCTGACATGCATGGTTATTCTTCCAAATGGATAATGGCTGATTTAACTGCCAGGCATTTTTGTTGTTGTTTTTTCGAGATGAGAGTTTCTCTGTGTAGCTTTGGAGCCAGGAGTACAGGTGTACAGGAACTCTCTAGGCCAGGTTGGCCTTGAACTCACAGAGATCCACCTGCCTTTGCCTCCTGAATGCTGGGATTAATGGCATATGCCACCACACCCAGCTTGATATCTTGCCACCACTGCTGGGCAACATTTTAAAAAATCTAAATGTACATAAAATTTACCATCTTATCCTCCAGCTTTTATGTGCTACATCTTTTCTTTTTGGTTTTTTGAGACAGGGTTTCTCTGTATTGCTTTGGAGCCTTCTGGGAATTCGCTCTGTAGACCACGCTGGTCTCAAACTTACAGAGATCCTCCTGCCTTTGACTCCTGAGTGTTGGGATTACAGTTCCCAGCTGGAACTAGCTCTAGTAGACCAGGCTGGTTATGTGCTGCATCTTAACCACTTTTACTGTAATTATGTTTACACTTTCTGTGCAACCCATCTCCAGAACTTCCTCATTGTGTAAAATGGAAACCAAACCCACTAAATAATCATTTCCCAGTTTATTTGGCTTTGCTTTTGTTTTGAGACAAGGTCTCATGTAGCCTAAGATGGTTTCAAACTTGATATTGATTATAAACTGTTCCTCATGCCTCTGCCTTCCATGCTGGGAATACAGGTATGCCACCCATACTCAGCCTTTTGGCTTTTTAGCATATCATGTTATAGTATTGTCATAATTTCCTTTTACCTGTGTATTTTCTTACCTGTGAGAGAGGGAGGTGTGCCAAGGTGCACAGCAGGACAATTTGAGGGAGTCAGTTCTTTTTCACCATATGGGTTCCAGAGTTGGAACCTTAGCTGCCAGATTTGGTCACATGCACCCTCACCTGTTGAGCCAGCCCACCAGTCCATACTTCCCTTTTTAAAGACTGGGGTTCATTTTAAGGATGCCACATTTTATCTGTTCAACCACCAATAGACATCCAGATGTTGGTTTGAAATCTTCTCAGTAGAACCACTGGATCACATGATCACATGGTAAATGTATAAACTCTTTAAGAGGGTCCTCCATATTGTTTTCCATAACATCTACCATGCCATGTTTCTACAATGGTACACAAGGACCTAATCCTCAACACGTGTTTTAAAACAGCAATTCTAACAGGTGTTTATATTCTCTTGGGCAGGAGTATGTGTGTGCCAGTGCTGGGGATTGAGTTCAGAGCCTTGGACATTTTAAATTCATATTCTACCACTGAGCTACGCCCCAGATCATCTTGATTTTTTTATTTTTATTCTATAGTAGTGTTTGAGGTATCTGGGGTTTGCTAACACACTTAGATGTGTCTGTCACAGGGTAACCTGTATCTTATGTTAAATAATGCAGAAATCAGTAAAGTTTACAAGCTGGAAGCAGCCTGAATATTACCAGGTATGAGAAATGTATGAAGTGCTTTAAGTTTGAAATGAAAAGCCAGACTCAGGATGATGACAATTCAAACTTCACTCAGAAAGACAAACATACATTTTTTTTTTTTTTTTTTGGTTTTTCGAGACAGGGTTTCTCTGAGGCTTTCAAGGATGTCCTGAAACTAGCTCTTGTAGACCAGGCTGGCCTGGAACTCACAGAGATCGGCCTGCCTCTGCCTCCCGAGTGCTGGGATTAAAGGCGTGCGCCACCCATGCCCGGCGACAAACATACATTTAATACCATTGCAGAAACAAGCAGTGAGACCCAAGTGAAAGCAGGTTTTTGTCCAAGGTACTTGGCTTAACATTATTTCAAAACGAGGCCTTTGGCTAGCAAGATGGTGCCAAAGTTAGTGAAGTAGGGATGAAGCTGCTCTTCCAAGACCTGAGCTTGACTGCAAGCATCCTTGCCATGTAACAGCTCACAATAACCTGAAGCCAGCTCCAGGGTACCCGACACCTTCTTCTAGCCCCTGCAGATACCTGCACACAAACGCTGCAGACTCACACATTTCAAAACATATAAAATGTGACCCCAGCCGGGCGGTGGTGGCGCACGCCTTTAATCCCAGCACTCGGGAGGCAGAGGCAGGCAGATCTTTATGAGTTGGAGGCCGGGCTGGACTGATAGCCTCCAAAACATTACAGAGAAACCCTGTCTCGTAAAAACAAACAAAAATGTGACCCCATTTCCTGTAATCGACTGTCTCATGGTAGAGTTCTTTTTAAAAGAGCAATTAATGCCAGGGGTGGTGATGCACCCTTTAATGCCAGCACTCAGGGAGGCAGAGGCAGGTGGATCTCTGAGTTTGAGGTCAGCCTGGTCTATAGAGCTAGTTCCAGGATATCCAGGGCAGTTACATAAAGAATCCCTGTCTCTAAAAACAAACAACAAAAGGACAATCTCCTTCACGTGAGGAAAAGGCAGGGCTTTAGAATGACATACTCAAATTCTTACATTGAGGAGCAATTGGAACTTAATCTCAGAAGCAGGGAGTTCATCTTTCAGCTGACTCTACTAGGTCTCTTAACCACCCACAGCTTTTTATAGTCAGAAGGTACTGATGAGTGACGGCTGCTCTCCCTTGCACTGAAGCTGTCATTTCCAGAGGCTGCCATGAGCATGGTTCCCTATGCTGTCTGCAAGAGCCTCTGCAGCACATCTTCATTTTCTTGAACAAAAACACTTCCCGTTCTAGGTTCAAGTTTCTCCAGTAAGAACAATGTACAAAATTAAAAAGCCCTGAGTTCCAACCCAAAGCAATCACAACTCAATTGGAAACATACACTATGAATGCAGGAACACTATTTATTAGGTCAATAATTCATTTAGCAATACAAGTACAGAATATATCACAATGCTGGTTACAAACATACTTAGTGTGGTTTTATAGTTACAAATAACAGTGGGCGCTACAAGTAGGTGAGAATGGTATGAAAGGTTGTCTGACTCAATGAACTGTTTTCAGAATCTATTAATGACCTTAGATATTTCCATAGAAATTCCTGTGGCACTAGTAGTGGGGATTTGTCTGTAAAGAATGTTAGTGATTCATTTGTAATTATTCCATTAAGGGTTTTTTTTGAGCCTATTAAACTATAACTCCTGTTGCTTAATAAGGTATAAAAATAGTACTGACCTGGTAATATTTAATAAAATGTAGCATTCATTCACGTAATAAAAGTAAAACTAAATTGAAAAATTTTAGTCACCATGGCAACATATTTTCCCATAAAAGGAATATACAGAAACGAGTGATGTCATACAAATGATACCTGCGATTCAGTGATCCAACACTTTGTGCACCACAACCAAGATTTCTAGATATCTATATATAGCATATATATTTAATCATAAATTTTACTTTCGAAAAACATGTGCACTTCAACAAACTCATTAAGGCCACTCATGCTATAGATACCTAGAACTGCAAATAACAGTGTTAAGAATCCTACAACACACGCCTTCAAATCACCACCAGGATAAAAGCCGTTTTCTGCCTAAAACATTCCTGAGATTTGGAAACAAAGGAACTACTACCCTTAAAATCTGTAGACTACTTCAAATGTTCTATTTAAAATAAATTTTTCTTTTTTTTTTTTCAGGTAATTTGAAGTCCTCTAAAGGCCAAGAGGCAAAAGAAGTGTTAATCTTTAAAACAAAAATAAAACTCTTAAAAATTCAGTAATTATAAATAAGAATTTTTCCAGTAGTAACTCTGCTAACCCAGAAAAAGAAGACTGGAAGCAGCAAGTCCAAAAACCCAAGGGGAAAACATAAAAAAAAAAATAAGTGGCAGTTAACAACACATGCTACTTAGCAAATCATGCTTTGAATTTTCAAAGTTTTGGCCAAAGCTTGCATCATATTTAGGCTCAGCTGTTTGAACTGTAAAGACAAGCTTAATGGTGGGCTCAAGACTTGAAGCTTGTAGGGGCTGCACTTTCACTGGATTTCCTGAGACAGGATCTCACTGGCTATTAAGTGATTCTCCTATCTTAGCCTCTGCAAGAGTAGTTGTGATTAAATCTTGCGCCACTTAGCAGCTTCCTGAAATTAATGACTCTCAACTCTTCTCATGGTTTAGGACAACGCAGGAATACCTGGCAGGGCACTGTTGAGTTGGTTTTTTTTTTTTTTAACAAAAGAATGTAGATTTGATGGAGAAACAGTCCAATTCCCAAGACAACGTCTCATTTGAGGACCCATAAGTACCATGCAAGAAAACCTCAGTTGGCGCTATTACACTGAATGCAAGTGACTCACCTGTGTCATATGCACAAGCTACCCAGCACCCCCAACTGGAGTAGCACCAGGGTTAGGAAAAAGAGAATTCAGGGGAGGGTGAGATCATAGGCTCTTACTTAAAATTTCATGCAAGCTATTGATTATTGTGAGGTAAATTTTATTCAGTTTTTCCTTTGAAATTTTTTTCTCTGCTTGGAATTTAGTATCTTCCTGCCTCAGTGTCCCGAGTACTGCGATTACAGACATACCCTGCTTTAATTTTAAAATTCAAATCATGGTGGCATTCCTTACTTCCTCATCCTAAAAATTCTTGCTAAAGGGATAAATCCTACACTTGAAATTATTGGGGAATTACTTTTTCAGTAGAATCAGGACATATCAAGTCATACCACTTGTGCCAGGCGGTGGTGGTGCACAATTTTAATCCCAGCACTCGGAAGGCAGAGGCAGGCAGATCTACAGATCCGAGTTCCAGTACAACAAGGGCTACACAGAGGAATCCTGTCATGAAAATCAAAACCAAACAAGAAAACAAAAACAAAACCCAAAACAAACAACCCCCCAACAAAAATACTAAACAGATTGCTAGAGTACAGGCATTAATTTTTATGAACTTAGAGAAAACTGCATTAAAGGACCGGTAAGATGGAGAAACTTGGCAATAATGATGCTGGGGTAGGAGCTGGTTGTCAGCTGACATTATCACCCTGTGACCACAGGCTTCTAAACATGTTACTCTATCACCAAGTATGAGTTAAGCTTAAACTGAGTTAAGGAGGATGAGTCCTTAAGTTATCTGATCATACAACATGTTGTATATGTATAAGACCAAAAATTCAGATTAAATAAAAATAATTCATGTGGAAACTTCAATTTCAAAATATTTATTGGAAAACAATTTAGCACGACATTCCTATACCACAAACATACCACAGGGCTCTAAATGGCCAATAATAGTATACAAAGCCTACCTTGACAATATCTTTGGAGGTATTAAACATACAGGCCCGTGCAGCTGGAGCTGGGTAACTTAGAAATGCCACTCCTGGTCACAAAGCCTACTTGGTAGTAAAGGGTGCCACTGAACAACAGACTGCAATTAACTGGAGGAACCAGCTGCACAAATTGCAAGTGTGCTGATTTATTCTTTGAAGGATTTATAGAGAAATTCAGTTAGAGGAATGAATAAATTCATCTCTGAATTCAAAGCTGTAATCTTAGGGTGTGAGCTTGCCTCATCTACTCGGGTACAGCCTCAGTAAGTTCCTTCCTAAGGACCTAAATGCACTGGCTTATCACTAAGACTGCAAATAGCAGTTTCAAACAAAGTTAAAACCGGGAAGTTCAAAATGTTTGATAAATTCTGAAGTTTCTATACTCTACATGATAACTTTGTTTTCCCCTTACCAACAAGCATGCTAAAGAACAGAATCTGACACACACTCACTCAATCTACAAACTACTCCAAGCATTGTCAGAAGCAGGGTGTCTAATAGCCAAGTCAGGAGCCGTTAGGGGAGAAGCCCAGACTTTTTAACTATAGAGGCACCAGACGGGCCACTGTGCTAAGAACTGAGGTAACAGCAAAAGACCTTTTTGTTACATGTCATAACTCAGGAATTGAGTATTAGCTCCACATTAAATAACCTGGCCAGCTTTAAACAATTAGAAAGTCAGACATTACAGTGGAGGATCTGTCCACTCGCGACTCCTGGGTTTCAGTTAAAATGACTAGTTGTACTATTAACTTCCGTAAAAATTAAGGATTTTCTAAGACTTATTTTTGTGCATTCAGTCTTCTTAATCCTCACAAACATATAGTAAACCTAAAATTGTCATCTGGACATGAGTTATTTCATGACTCTTAGCCAGTATGTCTGTTAGCAACATGGAGTATTAGGGCAAATATTAAAAAAAGGGTGGCCGCAATAGAAGTTACAGACTTGCTTACGACATTGCCATCTATGTACCTTGACTAAAGATTTGCCACTGACATTGCCCAAATCCCATAGTTTGGTATCTATGATACAAATAAAACTCTTGCTTTAATACTTTGCATTCTATCTAACTGCAAATATTCTATTGGAAAAGGCAAGTACTTGACTAAAATAATAACCTAAAGCCCCTGGTCCAAATAACCACCTTCCACAGTTGCCTGGCCCTTTTAGAGCCTTCTGGTCCTGTTAGCAAACACTGTTAGGGCATCTCACTATTGTACCAAAAACAGAGTAAGAGCTGAGCTGCTGGTCCACCTGGTGTTGTGACTGACAGATCAACACTGGTCCAGTTAGATGAATCTGACAGCAGTCCTTCCCTGAAATACAGTTCTGGAATGGCTGTATGCACCGATCTGGGAAAGATAGCCAAGTCTACATTAGGATGTCCCCCTTTTATTAGTACCTGTGTTACTTTTCTATACTGCATATAAAGAGTTTTCCATAAAATTTCTTTACAATACAGTATTGATACCTCCACATGGAAGAATCATGTTAAAAAAGTTGTTAAAATCATCCTTACATAATAAGAATGCAACTCTTTTAAACTCTTAAATAGTTTTATTTAGGGGGTCTTTTTTTTCTTTCAGGCTTTCTGAAAAATGATTTTTTTTAAAAAGGTGGGGGGAAAGGTTTCCTGTTGTTCTAATGGGGTGAGAATGTGGGACTACTTACACACGCGGCACATGCTGATATAACTCAATATATGCTTATTCTACAAGAACTGCAATACAGGACTACCCGAAATAGGGTCTTCAATGGACTGGACCAGTGTTTCAATGCAAATACCAGCCCCAAAACAACATGGTTTTGATTTCACAGTATGAATTCCCTGGAATCTGGGAAAAGGTAATTGTTAGCTGAGGCTGTCCCTCAGCAGCTTGGTCCCTCAACATTCTGAGACATCAGGAAGGACTGCACCACTTCTTCGGTGGACTGGGGACTGCTGTTGACGTCTTCAAGGGCATCGGTCACTGAATACTGTCGATCTCGCAACCGGTTCCAGTTAGACAGAACATTGTGATACTCAAACACTTTTTCGTAATTTCCAATTGAGTTGTAAAGTTTAATGAGGCCTCGGTAATCATATTCTAGTCCACTGTAGCCTTCACCAAATAGTTTCTTCCCTAAAGTAACATAAGAAAGAAACAGATCAAATAATGTACAATAATCTTTTTGCTTTGATTTCAATACAAGTTTAATTCTTTAAATAGGCTGGCTGGATTTTACTTCCATGGAAGGAAAAACTACAGTCTCTGTATCATTGCCTCTTAAATCATTCACATCCATGCAGTATCTCTAAGATGTAAAGGAGTTGGCTTGACTAGAAATGCCAAAATAAATTTCACAAGGTTTTTAAAAATGTAATTTTGTGTGTGTATGTGTGTGTAGGCCAGAAGATAACTTTCAGGAATCTCTTCCCCTTCCATCATATGATTTCCCAATAGAGAATTCTAGCTGTCTAGGTTGGTAGCAGCTGCCTTGACCTGAAGAGCCATCTTATCAGCCCCAAATTTCAGGCTTAAGGAATAATGTTTTTAAGGACATCTTAAGATAATATGGAGGATTTACAGAGTCTATGTAACCCTGCCTGGCTGTCCTGGAACTCAGTCTGTAGACTAGACTGGCCACAAACTCAAGATCCACCAGCTTCTGCCTCTTGAGCACTGAGATTAAAAGTGTGTGCCACCATTCCTGGATAGTTTTGTTTTTAAAGTAAAATGTGCTAGTTTTTATTTTGTCAAGCTGATTAAAACCTAGTCACCTGGGAAGAAGAAACTTCAACTGAGGAAGTGCTTAGATCAGATTAGCCAGTCTGTGAAAGATGTCATGATTGATGACTGATGTGGAGACCCTGGCTATTGTGGCCAGGACCATCCTTAAGCAGGTAGTATCTGGGCTATGTAAGAAAGCTAGCTGAGCATGAGCCAGCAAGACAGTCAGCAAGCACATTCCTCCACGGCTCCTGCCTTCAGCTATTTCCCTGACTTTTCCAATGATGAGTTATGACCTGGAAGTGTACAAGAAAACAAACCATTTCCTCTCCAAGTTCCTCATGACGGTTTTGTCACAACAATAGAAAATACAAACTAGAACACAAATTATAGAGACTATAATATGCTTATTTCATTTAAGAAAGGGAGGATAGCTGGGTGGTGGTGGCGCACACCTTTAATCCCAGCACTCGGGAGGCAGAGGCAAGAGGACATCTGTGAGTTCAAGACCAGCCTGGTCTACAAGAGCTAGTTCCAGGACAGCTTCCAAAGCCACAGAGAAACCCTGTCTTAAGAAAAAGAAGGGAGGATAAAATATTTTATAATCTTTATGTAAAACAACACATAGAAAAATAAGCCAAAAATATATAAAATTGGTCAGTCAAAGCAGGTGTGTGGTAACTATGTAGAAGAAATTAAGAAAACTACACATCCCTAGGGAAGTACTTGCCTATGAATTTGTGATTTTTCAGAACATTAGTATTTCACATACTCAGGGATTGATCAGGTAAGTCAATATACAATGGCTAACACAAATATATGGATCACAATTTGTGACAGAGACAGCAATGGGGGAAAGGACAATCTTTTAAAGAAATGGTACTGGGTCAGCTATATATGTGTTTGGAAAAAACAAAATATGATTCCTTTCCTGTACCATGAATTTTAGGATTTCAGATTTAAAAGTGATTGGTTAAGTAAAGTGTCCAGAAGATAATCTTTTAGAAGAGTATTTTCATAACTGGTAGGAAAAACTCCCTCAAACTAAATACAAAAGGTACTAACAAGTACTTCAAGGTAGTCTATTAACATCAAGGAGGTCTTAGGCTAAGTGTGCTAGCATATGCCTGTCCCAGCATTAGGAGGAAACAAAATGATCAGGAGTTCAGCAGCAGAGTGAGCTACATGAGTCCCTGTATCAATAAACAAAAATAAAATGAAATGAAATAAACTGTCCTTCCCAATGTGTTCTCAGGAAAACAGGCCACAGGACAAGAGGAGAGAGACCCTTGTATCACAGGCAACCAGCAGGGCTCAGAGTTATGGTACATGAAGAATTTCCTAAGTCAACAATGCTAGACAATTCAAAATAAAAATGGGGAAGAACCAAGCTGGGTGTTGGTGGTGCACGCCTTTAATCCCAGCACTTGGGAGGCAGAGGCAGGCGGATCTCTGTGAGTTCAAGGCCAGCCTGGTCTACAAGAGCGAGTTCCAGGACAGCCTCCAAAGCCACAGAGAAACCCTGTCTCGAAAAACCAAAAAAAAAAGGGGGGGAAGAACCATAAGAGCAATTTCATACAATGAGATAATACAGTCAAATGGAAACAATTCAAATGCTCTGGGTGTTCATTAAATGTAGACTAGATTAACAACGACATCCCAATTCAATATAATGTAGTTACGGAAACTACCATGGGACTACAACGCAGCAACATATTACAGTTAGCCCACTAAGAAGGATACTCTCTACTTAATTTCAAGGTCAAAAACAGACAAACATAATTATGTTAAAGATGTGAGACCTCCAGACGACAAGAGGAGCAGGGACAGCAGCTGGACTAACACCTCAACATGGAGACTTTTATCTACACATCCCACTAATGACTTCAATGCTGTCGAAGAGCCTTGACAGTATTCTAAATGGCTCTGTGGTCAGTTCTACCTTCCACAGCACTGACTTTTGTCAGTGCTAACATTTCCCTCATGCAGCATATAAGAATGTGGGCATGCTCTCCAGACACCTAAGAAAAATTTAAAGGTAACATACCAATTGCTATAGATCGCAAATATAGTTTTTCAGCATTTTCATATTGATTCATGTCATAATTATATAAAGATGCCAAATGTCCCACCGAAAGGGCTACTTCATAATCTTCTTGACCAAGAAGCTGCTCTTTAATCTGAATTGCTTTTATATGCATTTCTTCAGCTTCCTGAAAAAGAGTTAGGCCAAATGGAACATTAGATCACACTATTCCTTAGGACAACAATTCTACTCAATGAGCAAATTTGTTCTAAATGTCAACCACAGCTTATGAATGCCATCAGGTATTAAGATCAAAGAACATCCCATACCTTTTCCAAAAGCTGCTAATGAAAAAGCACTACTGGCACTTTTTGTTGTTGTTGTTTGCTTTTTTTTCCAGACAGGGTTTCCTCTGTGTAGCTTGGGAGCCTGTCCTGGAATGAACTCTGTAGATCAGGCTGGTCTCGAATTTACAGAGATCTGCCTGCTTCTGCCTCCCAAGTACTGGGATTCAAGGTATGTACCACCACTGCTTGGATAGATTTATCATTTTAAATTTACTAATCATTTAGAGATAAAAGAATATAAACTCCCTTTACCTTAAATTTTCTCATTGACTGATAGAGTCTTCCAAGGTTACCATAGTGTTTTGCAGTCTGCACATTAAATTCTCCGAAAGCTTTCTTAGCTAGCTGCAGTGAAGACAAGTGCAAGTCATGTGCTTCTTGAAGCAGCCTCTGTTCCGTCTCTTTGTTATGACAGTCAATTGCAATCTCCTCCAAAATAAGTGCTGAACAAAGAAAGAGATGTTAGGAAACTTACCATCCATTTTCTAAAGGGCCCAATATTCAATTGAAAATTAAAGACTGTAGTATTTATTGAATATTGAATACATAACTGACTGTAGTTTAGAACTGACCAAGATCAAAGCCTTCAACATTTGAGGTTGGTTTTTTTCTTTTTTCTTTTTCTTCTTCTTTTTTTAGTTGGGCTCTCGATATATGACATAAACTGGCTTTGAATTCATGGCAATCTTCCTTCTTCAACTTCATTCTAACGCTAGGATTCCATGTGTGTGCCATTATGCTAAGCCAAACTATTCTACTTCAACAGTACACTTTTGGAAAAGTCATCCTATTTACATAGTACATTCATTCAAATGGAGGGAAAAAAGGTTTACCTTAAATTATTTTTCAGAATCAGCTTCTATTGTAATAGCATGCTACATCTTATAGATGGAAACTTGATTTTAAAAGTAAATGGTCATGTGCGAATGGTGGTGAATGCCTATGTGAGCAACTGGGAGGCTGAGGCAGCAGGATGGGGAGTTTAAGGCTAGCCTTGGCTGCAGGACAAGTTTAAGGGCAGCCTAGACTACATGAGACCTTGTCTCAAAAAATCAAACGAGAAAAAAGGAAAAAGAAAACGTGAATGCTAGAAGTAAAAGTTAAAGTTACACAACTACGGAGGAGTGCTCTAAGCACTTCTGGCAATTCTGAAAGCACCCTTTATGAAATATGACCTTTAACCAAACATAACTGACAAAGTGTTGCCTCTTACTTATTCCTCCAACCCAATCAGGCCAGAAGACATTCTATTTCACGGTTCCACCCAAGTTTCCAAGCCCATATAAGGCCTAAGAATACAGACACTGCCAGCTCATTTTACGTCTTGGCATTGTACACAGGCAGTGAAAAGAAAGTCACCTTAAGAAAAGAAGGTTTAAAGCAGTTTCAATTCCAGAGGAGAGAGATTAAGGCACTTACAAGAAAGCGCACACCTATGTATACTGAGATGGGAAAATGCTCAGGATATAGCAGAACACATAAAGCTAGAAGATACTTTCTCCAACATTTATTTATTGTGAGGGTGGGGGACGGAGGTTGGGGTGAATTTGTGCCACAGCAATCAAATGGAGGTGATAAAACAATCTGGTGGAGCGGGGGTGGGGAGGTGAGAGGTGAGGAGTGGGAGGAGTGAGGGTGGCGGTGACACACGCCTTTAATCCTGGCACTCGGGAGGCAGAGGCAGGCGGATCTCTGTGAGTTCGAGGCCAGCCTGGTCTACAGAGCGAGTTCCAGGACAGCCTCCAAAGCCATAGAGAATCCCTGTCTCAAAAAACCAAAAACCAAAAAAACAATCTGGTGGTAGTCAGTTTTTTCCTACCATCTTTATGTGGATACTAGGAATTGAATTTAGGGTTATAAGACTTACTCCCTTAGCCATTTCACTGGCCCTTTAATATCTTATTCAAAGAAGGGACTAAAGGAATCAACAAAACAGTGATTCAGTATTAGTGAGGCTTTCTTTGTGTAACTGATTTTTTCTAACTTCATGGCTGGTACTACTGGATGAAGGTAATCCAGAATGAGCTTAAGACTCACCCGCATGCACATAATTGTTACCACAAGGGTGATCCAGTTTCAACAGAATCAAGGCAGTAAGTGAAACGAAGAGCACTGGTGAGGATGGGCAGACAAGTTAAAAAAGCAAAGGGAGAATTTGGCAAGAACACTTAAAAGTTGGGGTTAAAAAGAAGGCTAGCAGTCGGGCGGTGGTGGCACACGCCTTTAATCCCAGTACTCGGGAGGCAGAGGCAGGAGGATCTCTGTGAGTTCGAGACCAGCCTGGTCTACAGAGCAAGTTCCAAGACAGCCTCCAAAAGAAACCCTGTCTCGGAAAACAAAAAAACAAACAAACAAACAAACAAAAAAAAAAAACAAAAACAAAAACAAAAAAGAGGGCTAGCACTGTAAGTCAACCCTGTGAGAAACCTTGTCAGTCCTAACTATGTTACTGTGGAATCATCTGCATTACTTCTCTCTTACTCCAAGGAAGGGGATAGAGGGAAGAAGAAAGCAAAATGAACAAACAACAATGTTATATGAAAGAGGTGAACCTTGGAAGTTGAGGGAACTATTTTAGTAGTCACATATCCATACAATCTAACAGCCTAACTTTATGCCACATACTGAATTTACAGTTATCTCAGACTAGATTACAAAGGGTACCTTTCACCCTCTTTGAAGAAGCCAAAAGAAGATGATCTTCAGGTAGAATGTGGGTAATGATACCAATGGCTCTTTCTGCATGAAATCTGCAATACACATAAATAGAGTCTAGTGGTTTTTTTTTAGTTATAAGTGATACAAAAACATAACAACATGCATTACAATATTGACAGAAAGTACTAGTATAACTACAAAAAAGAATCTAAGAGTTTTGGGGCTGAACTTGGTTCAGCAGTTAAGAGCATTTGTTGTTCCTCCACAGGACCCAAGTTCAGATCTAAGTACTCACACTGTGTGGCTTACAAATTCCTGTTAGCTCCAGCACCAGAGGATCTGACTGATCTCTCTTCCCTCTCCTCTCCTCTCTCCTTCCCTCTTAGTTTTTCAAGACAGGGTTTCCTCTGTCTAACAGCCCCGGCTGTCCTAGAACTGGCTCTGTAGACTAGGCTGGCCTCAAACTCAAGAGATCTGTCTGCCTCTGTCTTCCAAATGCTGGGATTAAAGGTGTGCACCACCACTGCCAGGCATGAATACCCACTGTCTTCTCATCTCCCTCAAAAAAAGTTCTCATTATGGTCTGCAGGACTCACTCTCTCTCTCTCCTCTGGGTCCCCACCTGTGACACATCCCCTCCCATTCCCACACCAGCCCTCTTAGCTGCAGGCACACTCCCATGATCAATTGTCACTGAGCAGAGCAAAGTCCCTGAAAACCACTTACCTCTCTAATTTTTTGAACATAGTAACATCTGGTTTTGTGTTCACAGCCCAGCTCACTAAACACAAGGCAAACAAACTACTTGCCTACTATACCTGCTTCTTCCTTACAACTCAAACTTGTTTTTAAAAAAATGGTTTAACATTTTAAATTATTTATCTGAGTGTGGGTATATGCACGTGAGAAGCCCACAGAGGCGAGGTGTTGCATTCCTCTTGTGCTGGAGTTACAGGTGGCTGTAAGTCACTAGACATGGGTGTTGTAAACCGAACTCAGGTCCTCGGAAGAGCAGTATTTATTCCTAACCACTGAGTCATCTCTCTAGCTCTCCACTCAAACTTATCTCTATCTTCAAATTCACTAGTTCCCTTTAGTGTTTAACTAGTGTGCTGTTTAACTTGTCCATTTAGTATCAATGACTATACAGACAGATGCCTTTCCCTCAGCCCTGTTGCTTTCTTTGAGACATGGCTTCATTTGGTAACCTAAAGTGGACTCAAACCCCTAGCAATTCTCCTGTCTCACTTGAGTGCTAGTGATCGCCACCATGTTTTTTTTTTTAGTATATTCAGCATAGTACCACTGCAACAATTTTAATACATTTTTATCACCTTAAAAATTCCTAGATAACATCTAGCAATCTTCACATCCCTTTGTGACTAGCTTCTGTAAGTTAGCATGTTTTCAATGCTCAACCATGGTGGAGGATAGATCTTGTTTCATTTAAAATTCCCAGCCTTCAAGAGGAAGCAGGTGAACTGTTTGAGCCCAGGAGTACAAGGTCAGCCTGAGTAACAGCTAGAACTCCCTGCAAAAAAATAAAGTCTGTCTTTGAAAAGGTTTCTGAGTTAGGTGTGGTAGTACATGCCTTTAATCCCATCACTTGGGAGGAGGCAGGTGGATCTCTGTGAACTGGAGCCCAGCCTGGTCTACAGTCCCAGGACAGCCAGAAAAATCCTGTCTCAAAAAAGGAGCCAGGAGCGTTGGTGGCCCATGCCTTTAATCCCAGCACTTGGGAGGCAGAGGCAGAGGCAGGCAGATTTCTGTGAGTTCGAGACCAGCCTGGTCTACAAAAGTGAGTTCTAGTTCAGCCTCCAAAACAATACAGAGAAACCCTGTCTTGAAAAAAAAAAAGGAGAAAGTCCCTGCTTTTTTTTCTCCTGCTGGAGAAAGGGGGTCTTGCAATATGGCCTTCGTTGGCCTGGAACTCACTGTATAGCCCAGAGCGTCCCCCTGTAAAAAATTTTTTTAAAAAAGATTTTATTATTTATTATGTATTCAGTGTTCTACCTGTATGTTGTTTGCCTACACACCAGAAGAGGGCACCAGACCTCATTACAAATGGTTGTGAGCCACCATGTGGTTGCTGGGAATTGAACTCAGGTCCTCTGGAAGAGCAGTCAGTGCTCTCAACTGCTGAGCCATCTATCTCTCCAGTCCATAAAAATTGTTTTTTAAGTTGTTGTGGGAAAGCTAGCAGGAGTCAGCTTTCTCCTTCCACCAGATGGGTCTCAGATAAGGAACTCAGGCTGTCATTCTTGACAGCAAGAGCCTTGAATTCTTTATCTTCTGAACCCAGCATTAATGCTGGGAATACAGGTATGTCCTACCATGCCTGGCCTTCTTTTTGCATTCATAGTTCCTCCAAAATATTACTGTTTATCTCTTTTATATCAGATCTGAGAACTTTCTTTGTAAGGCGCTATACAGTAAATACTCTATTATGTTGGCAACAAATTCTTTCACAGCTATTTAAGTCTACTACTATGACATGAAATAGTCATAGGAAACAGATGAACAAATGAGCATGCCTATGGCCCATGAAAATAGCTGTAGGCCAGAGTCCATGGCTAAGGATGTTAGAGATCATTATTTGTTGCTGGGGACTTTTGCAAGCTTAGTTACACATTTAAAAGAAGAGCTATAGTATATCCAGTTTTTCTGTTTTCAGCACCATGTTTGTAAGTTGTTAAATTTGCCATGGAGCCAGAAGTTATTAAATACTCAAACAAAAATCACTGAAGATGAACTCATGCCATATAGAACTACACAAATTGGGGCTGGAGAGATGGCTTGGCAGTTAAGAGCACTAGCAGCTCTTCCAGAGGACCTGAGTTGCATTCTCATCACCCACATGGTAGCTCACAACTGTCTGTAATTCCAGTCCCAGAGGATCTGACATCTTCACATCAATGCACACACATAATAAAGTTCAATAAATTATTTTTTTTAAAAAGAAATACATAAATCTTAATCTGAAACCAAAGGAAGCCTAAATGGATGCCTTAAAAATTGGAGTAATAGCAGGGCAGTGGTGCACACCTTTAAAATCAGCACTTGGGAGGTATCGGCAGGCGGATCACTGTGAGTTCAAGGCCAGCCTGGTCTAGAGTGTGTGCCAGGATAGGATCCAAGGCTACACAGAGAAACCCTGTCACAAAAAGGAAAAAGGGGGGGGGGGAGGGAAAGGATGATTTTTAAATGACTTCAAGAACATTTTATACCACCAGGAAGACAAATTTATCCATACAATACTTAGGGACTATTATACAATGGGTAAATAGTATTATCCTTCTAATAATAGATGGAACTTACAGTGCATTGTCAAATTTCCCAGAGCTGTACTGATGAACGTAGGAAGAGTAAGCCAGATCTTCATGAGCTGTTGCTACATGAATATTTTTGCCTCCAAACACTGACTGTCGAATGTCAAGGGCTGCCTGAAAGAATCATAAAGACATTTAATAATATTATATACCGCCGGGCGGTGGTGGCGCACGCCTTTAATCCCAGCACTCGGGAGGCAGAGGCAGGCGGATCTCTGTGAGTTCGAGGCCGGGCTGGACCGACAGCCTCCAAAAAAAATACAGAGAAACCCTGTCTCGTAAAAACCAAAAAAAAAAAAAAAGTTGTACACCACCTAAGTTAACTATCCCCATACTCTATGTACCTAACCTCTTAAATTTCAAATGGGAAAGTCCTGCTGGATATAAACGAGGGCATAACCTGAAAGTCACCCTCCTAAGGCCTGGTTCTGTGAAGACAGACATCTGCATTGGGAATCCCATCAGTACTTTTTCAGCAGTAAGGCCAAGTATACACAAGGCAATGTTCCACCACAGAGCCATAGTCTCAGCCCTAATAGTTTCTTTTACATCCTTCTTTAAAAGAGAACTGTGAAATCAGCAATCTCTTGTCTAGAGCCATGGTACAGGACACCATTTACCTGAAATAATGATTGTAAGACTTAAAATTATAGCTATCAACCCTTGCTGGAAAAAGGCAGGAAGACTGACTCCTGATAAATCCGCCAAAGTGAAGCCATCACCCAGGCAACTTACAGACGGAAAATACTGTGGAATATGGACTTACAGCCTAATGATAATATTTTTGGATCACACTCTTCAATTCTTAAAACATTTGACTTTGAAGTCTTTTACATAACACTTAGTAAAGCAATGTTGAGGCCTGCAGGAATAAGGAAAGGCTCCTCAAAGACAGATTTTTAAAAAAATTAGTTTGCTATTGTTTTTCTAAATTATCTTTATTTTATATGCACTGGTGTTTTACCTGCATGTATGTCTGTGTGAGAGTGTCATACTCCCTTATATCCGCAGTTAGAGGATAGTTTAAGGAGTCATGTGGGTGCTGGGAATTAAACCTAGGTCCTCTGGAAAAACAGCCAATGCTCTTAACCACTAAATCATCTCTCTCTGCCCCTCAAAGAGTTATTTTTACATATGATTTACAAATGGCAAACAAATACAGGTCAGCAAGTCAACTTAGGTTAAAAGCAAAGGGAAATAACCATTAACATACCTGATAAATTGCAACAGACTGACAGATATTATCTACATTGAGTAAGTAGAACCCATAATCTAGCAGCGTGTCAGAGTATTTTGGGTGTTTGGATCCAAAATGATCTCTGGAAAAACATAGAGAACTATTAGAACATAAAGTTGAGAAATAAATTAAAACCGTATCTTTAATAATAATCATTTACCGTGCCAAGTACACTGCATGTTTAATTAACTGTTCTGCCTTCTTAAATTCACGTTTTACTACACAGGCCTAAAGACAAAGACAGACAGAAATGATTAAACAACTCTCAAACAGTTCATTAATGTGCAACAATAAGTATAGCTTGAGACCACACTATAATAGTCGATAAAAAAAAAAATCAATGATTCTGCTGGGTGGTAGTGGCACACACCTTTAATTCCAACACTCAAGAGGCATGGGCAGGTGGATCTCTGAGTTCAAAGTCAGCCTGATCTACGAGAGGGAAATTTCCAAGACAGCCAAGGATATACAGAGAAACCCTGTCTTGGGGGTGGGGATTCTTTTAATTTGTAATTTTTTCCAAGTCTCTAATAATTTTTTTTAAAGAGATAGATCTGTAAAGAACTTGGAAAAATTCTGATAGTCATTTCCAACATAAACCTGTTATAACAAAGGTAATCTTTCAGGTGGTACACACTTACCCCTTTATAAAACTAAAATGCTGGGGGAGGATTCAGCATAGTATTTTTAAGTATATATATTCCACTTCCAGAACAGCTTATAGTGAAATTTCCTCACTTTCTTAAATATGTATATACATATTTTTAAATACTTTTTTTGTTTTGTTTTTGTTTTTTTATGAGACAGGGTTTCTCTGCATTGTTTTGGAGGCTGTCAGACCAGCCTGGCCTCGAACTCACAGAGATCCGCCTGCCTCTGCCTCCGGAGTGCTGGGATTAAAGGCGTGCGCCACCACTGCCTGACTTAAATAAGGTTTTTATGTGTGGGGGGTATTTGCCTATATTCATGCCATAAGAAGGTGTTAGATCTCCTAGAATTGGAGTTATAGATGCATATGAGCTGCCATGTGGGTGCTGGGAATCAAACCTGGGTGTTCTGGAAAAGTAGCCAGTGTTTAAATGCTGGGCCACCTATCCAGTCTCATACTTATTATATATATATATATGTTTTAATTTATATTTATTAATGCCGGGCGAAGGTGGCACACGCCTTTAGTCCCAGCACTTGGGAGGCAGAGGCAGGCAGATCTCTATGAGTTCAAGACCAGCCTGGTCTACAAGAGCTAAAGTTCCAGGGCAGCCTCCAAAGCCACAAAGAAATCCTGTCTCGAAAAACAAAAACAAACAAAAAATTATTAATAATTTATGGTGTGCACATGCACATATGTATGAATGAATTTGGTTCTTTCTTTCTACCATGTGAGTCTTCCAGGGGTTGAACTCTGTTGTCATGCTTGATGGCAAGTACCTTTACCCACTGAGCCATCTGACTGGACCTTTCTGTTAAATAGCACCTGCTATTTACAGGCCTAGCTTGAGATCAGATAAAATATGGGACATCAAGTTGCCATGGACACAGGCTAACACAATAATTTTTATATGTACAGAAGGAATTTCAAGCTTTAATTATTATTATTATTTTTTGCTGTTGTTGTTTTCTTTTTTGAGACAGGATTTCTTTGTGTAGCCTTGGCTGTCCTGGAACTAGTTTTATAGACCAGGCTGGTCTTGAACTCATAGAGATCTGCCTGTCTCTGCCTCCTGAGTACTAGGATTAAAGACATGTGCCACTACCACCTGGCTAAAAAAATATTTTGAACCATAAGGATTGCCAGTTTTTGAACTCTAAATACCATGTGCATATACAAATTTTGCATGTATATTATTTCACACAAGCATATATTTAATGTTTAAATTAAGCATGATAATATTTTTCTCATACAGATGCAATGTAAATTATTTATTTTGCTATTCACTTCCTCTAAAGTGAATGATGGAGACTTAGGTACACTGGAACATACCTATAGCCCAAGGAAAGTCACAATTTGAGGGTAGTTCTGACTACACATCATGTTTAAGGCTAGCTGAGGTTACAAATCAAGATCTTCACATCTCAATAATCAACTTTTTTAGTATTTGGCAGAAATAGTGCTATCTTCTAAACCAAAAACCTGCAGTCTTTTTTCTGATTGAAATAACTCACATAAAACCAACTAAAATGGAATATTCAAGTGTGAGTACCTTCCATACAAAGAACATATTGCTTTAAGACTTTTGTATACTGAAGCAGCAACTTTAAGATAGTAATAAATAGACTCAAAGAATTAATATACTTGTTTACAGAAAAAGAAACTAGAGAAAAATCAAATAAAGACTGTCTAGCAGGTCTAGTTTATAACAAGCTCTCTTGCTGTGAAATGCAATCTAGAAGGAAGGTAATGACACTAGAAGATATTCTAGCCCCCAGCCTACAGGCCCCCACATGATTTCCAATGAGAAACTGAGGCTACCACACAGCTTGAAGGAAGACAAAACCTCAAGCCAAATTAGCATCAAATATTACTGTGATGTGTACTTCAGTGATCTCAAACAATTATTTTCACAGGTTTCTTTGATAACAGAAAATTTATGAGACAGCTTTTTGTTTGTTTGTCATCTGAGACAGGGTCTTTCTATGTAGCCTTGACTGTCCTGTAACTCACTCTATAAGCCAGGTTAACCTCAGACGCTCACCTGCCTCTGCCTCTCAAGTACTGGGATTAAGCTATAGGACAGTTTTGATTAGAAACTAAGTTTCTAAAACTAAGCAGAATAACTTAGAAAACAGATCTAGTTCATTATTAAAGATTAACAACTTAAAAGTCAGGTAAGTCCTATAAAACATTTCATTTTAAACACCATATTCACCTTAGAAGCTTGTCTTAAAACATCCACCACAACTTTGACTGGTAAGCCTGATGTAATTTCCTTCATCGCCTCAACGCACCATTTATAAGCCTTTGAAAAAATTGAGAAGAGAAAGAACTGTGACAAACTAAATGACAGTATTTAATGAAATTATGAATTTTTCCTACAAGATTTCAAGTACACACACAAAAATTATTTACAATTGAATATTTCTGAGATTCTATACCTTTCTCAAGCAAAGTGTGGTAGTACACACCTGTCATTCCCGAGTCAGCATGGCAGGAGGCTTTTCCTGAGCTCAGAGTTGGAGGTGAGCCTATGTATGAATCCAATCTCAAACACTTGCACAGGTGTGATACACATTCAGGAAATAAGGCATGTTCTATTTTTCCCAGAAACAGTTCCCCCAACCTAACCTTAGGAAACATTCCCTCTTCTAGACCCTTAGTGTACCAAGCTCATCTTCTAGGCTTCAGTCCTAGACTAGCTTTCCTGTACTTTCCTTTCCCTTCTGTAACGTTTTATCCCTTTCCCTTTACCACCCCCTATTTTTCTATCTGAGAGATGGTGACCTAGAGCTTGATATGTAGACTAGTCTGGCCTCAAACTCAAAAGATCCAACTGCCTCTGTTTCCCAGTTGCTAGGATTAAAGGTGTGTGCCATTATACCCACCTATTACTTTTTATACTAACTATCTGTTTAGTTGAATGTCTACTTTGTGCTAGATATTGTTCTAATAGCACTTAATGTTCATTGATACATTTAACTGATACCACAGCACCATGATATGTACTATTATTATGGAAAAGTGAGGTACAGAGGTCAAGTGACAGGCAATGAGCTAGCATTTCTCTAGTATGAGGAAAACAAACAAAATGACACTTTCTAATTATTAGCATAAGGTTTTTAAAAAAAAGGTAAAATTCATTATCCTAGATAGTGAAAATTGCTATTATATAAAGAAGAAGATAGAGTAAGAATACCCATTTTGGTAAATTCTGGGCTTAACTGAGAGGTCCTGTCTCAAGCTGAAAAAGTGATTGAGATTCCCAGTATCATCCTTGGACTTCCCCATACAGGCATACACACGTAAACATGTACCTGTCCACATACATGCTCTCACACCTGCCTATGTGAATACATATAAACATACTCATGCATACTACACATACATACATATGAAAGAGGGTTATAAAGATGACTCAGTGGCTGAGTAGCTCTTAACCCATTCAGTTTTCAGCATCCACATTAGATTACTCACAATTGCCCATTTTAACTAACCGTCTTTTAGTCTCCTTGGTACTCATGTAGTACACATAGCAACACACAAGCATAAATGAAAACACAATTAAAAATAAATCTATAAGCTGGGCAGTGGTGCCGGGCGTTGGTGGCGCATGCCTTTAATCCCAGCAGTGGGGAGGCAGAGGCAGGAGGATCTCTGTGAGTTCGAGACCAGCCTGGCCTACAGAGAGAGTTCCAGGACAGCCTCCAAAATAATACAGACAAAGCCTGTCTCGAAAAACAACAACAACAAAAAATAAAACAAAACAACAACAGGGGCTGGAGAGAGGCTCAGCGGTTAAGAGCACTGAGGTCCTGAGTTCAATTCCCAGCAACCGCATGGTGGCTCACAACCACCTTGAATGAGATCTGGTGCCCTCTGCTGGCATGCAGGCAGAAGACTGTATACACAATAAATAAATAAAATATTAAAAACAAACACAAAAAAGCCGGTGGCACACACCTTTAATTCCAGTACTCTAGAAGCAGAGATAACAGAGTGGAGTTCCATGCCAGCCAAGGCTACACAGAGAGATCCTGTCTTCAAAACAAACAAAAAAACACAAAAATAAATCTATTAAAAACAAAACAAAACAAAAAAAAAACACACCCGCCGGGCGTTGGTGGCGCACACCTTTAATCCCAGCACTCGGGAGGCAGAGGCAGGTGGATCTCTGAGTTCGAGGCCAGCCTGGTCTACAGAGCAAGTTCCAGGACAGCCTCCAAAACAATACAGAGAAACCCTGTCTCAAAAAACCAAAACCAAACAAACAAACAAAAAAACACCCAAGGAAGACAGCTCCTGAAGAATACCCCCAACACTGACCTTTAGCCTCCACTCATGTAAATTTACATACATATGTAAACACACCTACATATATAACCCCACAGAACATACCCACAGAAATTTTGAGAGATCACTAGGGATAGAAAGAATTATCTGTTTTCTTCTATAAGTTGCCATTTCTTCCATTTCAGTTAAGAAACACCTCTATTCGTAAATAGTAAAATGCAAAAATAATACCAGAAAATTTCACTTTTTCATGAGCTCTGAAATCAGCTCCGGCCTCCATGTTTCTGCTTTGAGTTCTTACACTACTATTAAGATGAAATAAACCCTTTCCTACCCAAGTTGCTTTTAGTCATAGGGTTTTTAATCACAGCAACAGAAACTTTATGACAGCTACTAAGTAAGCTGATTTTATTTCAAAGTAGTACAATAACACTTTTAGAACCATGGTAACTATAATGCAGTTTTAAAACATTTCAATAGTATGGTGCTTGCCAAATTAAATACTTATGTTCAAAGTCATGTTTAATAATTTACAACATATAACTAAATGCTTCTATTAAGGTTCAGTTAACACAGCATTTCCTTTTAAAGAAATCTGCCAAACAAACACCTGTACAAATTAAGCAAAAAAGGCCTAAATTTCACTTGTAAATATTTAAGATCCATTTCACAAACAATTCTTTTGCCTGATTTTCACATTTCATTAGAAAATTAAGTATTTTTCCATTTTGCAATAAAATCTGTGACATGAGCCTGGTATGTGAAAGCTGGGAAAGATGGTACATGCCTGTAACCTGACCCCAGAATTCAGGAGGCAGAGACAGAAGGATCCTAAGCCTGAGGTTTGTCTGGGCTACCCTGGTCTTAACTTACCCAAAAACAAATCAAAACAACAACCCTGAAGACCCTCCCAATATGTGACATGCAATTTAGAATACATGTAAGAGAAAACTGGCTTATCCTATTTCACAAGGAGGTACCTAAAAACACTTACCTCACCATAATGGGTCACATGCCTGTAACCCCAGCACTTGAGAGTTGATAAAGGAAGATCATAAATTCAAGGTCAGCTTGGGCTACAAATACAGACCCTGTCTCAAAACAAGAAGCCAACTTACCTCATCATAGTGGCTTTTTGCAAAAAGGAGTGCACATAGTTCTCCATAGAGAGCAGCTCTGTTTGCTTGCTGGCCATGTTTTGATAACTTATCCATGTATGTCTGAGCTAACTTAAATGTTTCTTCACCTAAATGATATTTGCAATTTCCATTTCGAACGTGGAGCAATCTGAAAAAAACAAAAAGCCCTTTAGTTCTGGTACTTCCAGCACTGTGACCCTGATAACCTCTTAAAATAATGATTAGGCACTTAAATGACAAGACAGTGGATCCAAGAAATGGGGTTGTATTAGAAAAAACTATTTTGTCTCAAGTAGTGCTAATGATAATGTGATTAATCTCAACTGATTTCTTGTGTTTTCTAAATATTCATTTATTTTGTGTATTCAGCATTGCTAAACAAAAAAGAATCCTTTTTGTTTCAAATTCGAATATAATACAGCAAATAGTGAAGAAAATAAAAATCAATGTGACATATCACCACTTGCCATTACCTTTTGTTCTCATTTTTTGTATGTCTGTACATCAATTCATTAGTTGCCAGTGCTCTCATCCATGTTGCTTCCTACGTGCTCATTTTTGCTTACTGTACCACTAACGTAAGTTCAATGATACAGCGGCGATTACCTATTTGTCCTATATACTCTGTGGCAAAAAATCCTGAGTACAACTAAACAAAATAATGTACAACGTGTTAACAATCTGGTGAGTATTAGAGCAGACTAAACTCCAGGCAATAGTAGACTATGCTTCTACAGACTACAAGACAAGAACAGTTGTTAGGAGAAATGCTCATCTATTATAGTGCTGGCTAAATGCCATTATCTACCTACTAGGTCAATATACTCTTCTGAAAATGCTTAGAACCCAGAGGCAATAAAGACATAAAAGATATTCAAAAGAAAACCAAATAGGACACTAATATCAACACTCTAAAGGCAGAGCTAGGCCTATTAATGAAACCGTCTAAACCATGTGAGAAGCAGGCAGAGACAGGTGGTAAAGCCTCTGCCTACCATTTTTGGTTGTAAGCCTAGCCTTTAACAGCTGAGCCATCTCTCCAGCCCGCCTCTTCCTATCATGTGTGAGGCCCTAAGTTCATTCCCTAGCACTGCAAAAACCAGAGAAGAGGAAGGGAGGGAGAACTAATGTCACTACTCTAGAATGGTGGGTGGAATTATTATATTTCTTTCTGAGCAGGGCAATCAAGGTTGAGTAGAATACAAGAGTAAAAAACCAACAGACACTTGAGTGAGGCTGGTGCCACATTGCATATTCATAATCTGCTTGGGCTACAGAATGAGCTGAGGATGCCTCAGCTAGTAGTGTACTTATTAAGCATGCATGAAACCCTAGGTTCAAACCTCAGCACCACATAAACTAGACATGGTGGTGTGAACCTACCTCCCCAGCACTTAGGCAGTGGAGTTATGAGAATCAGATGTTAAAGGCAATTCTCAGCTATACAGGCAATTCAAAGCTAGCCTGGGATACATGAGTGAAATCAAGAGTTGTCAATATCCTTTACCACGAGTATTCCAGAAGGATGATCATTTCTGGCCATTACCTACTAAGTGGCACATGATGGGGCAACAGATTATTTAATGCCAGAAAGGCACTGCTTGGTGTTTTCTCCAGCCCCATTGGCAGTCTGGTCTATTCAAGCATACACTAAACATGTGTCCATCTGGGCTGAGAGCAAGCAGGATGCAACTGACAGGTCTGAGTAAAGGGTGTGTTACTAAGGTGTCAACCTGAACACTACCGTGGAAGCAGATTAGCTTACTTTCACAAGTAACAGCAATGTGAAATCACACCTCCCTATCAACAGCTACAGAAAAAGAAACTGGTTTTTTTGTTTTGTATAAGACAGGGTTTCTCGGTAGCTATGGTGCCAGTCCTGGAACTAGCTCTGTAGAGAAGGCTGGCCTTGAACTCACAGAGATCCGCCTGCCTCTGCCTCTGCCTCACGAGGGCTGGGATTAAAGGTGCAGGCTTTCGGGGGTTTTTTTTGTTTTTGTTTTTGAGACAGGGTCTCTACATAGTCCTGGTTATCCTGGAACTCAGAGACCGTCCTGCCTTTGCCTCCCAAAAGCATAAACCATCATGGGCTAAAAAGCAACTATTGTTCACCATGTCAAACTATTCAAGTTTCAAATGAAGAATATGCAAACATAGAAGTCATGAAATTTATAAATATATTTACTGTAAGACTGAATGGCTGGACTGGCAAGATGACTCAGAGAGCAGAGGCAGCAATGCATATAAAAACTTGACGACAAGTTTCATCTCTAGATTTTAGTGGAATGAGGGAACAAAATCCTAGAAGTTGTCCTGGCTCCCACATGAGCTATGGCATGTACACATGTACTTGCATGTACACAGAATAAAAAAAAATGAAAACTGGCTTAGGGAGATGTTTGGATGGATAAGGTGCTTGCCTGGAAAGTCTAAGGAGCAGATTTGGATCCCAAAACCTACCTACATAATAAGGGAACAGGCCTGGTGGCAGTCTGTAATCCCAGCTCTTGGGAGAGACAGGGGATTCCTGGAGCAAATTGGACAGCTAGACACAGTGAGGAGACCTTACCTCAAAAGAGTGGAAAGCAGCCGGGCGGTGGTGGCGCACGCCTTTAATCCCAGCACTCGGGAGGCAGAGGCAGGCGGATCTCTGTGAGTTCGAAACCAGCCTGGACTACCAAGGGAGTTCCAGGACAGCCTCCAAAACCACAGAGAAACCCTGCCTCGAAAAAAACAAAACTAAACAAACAAACAAAAAAAGAGTGGAAAGCAGTCAAGGAAGACTTGATGTCAGCTACATGACTCTCTACGTGGATACATATATGTATCCATACATGCACACATACATATGAATATACATGCAAACCACACACAGGAACACAAACAATTTTTTGGTGGTAATGCACGCCTTTTATTATTGTTAAAATTTAGTTATTATTTATAGTGTTCTACCTGCAGGCAAGAAGAGGGCATCAGATTTCATTATTGATTGTTGTGAGCCACCATGAGGTTGCTGGGAATTGAACTCGGGACTTTTGGAAGAGCAGTTAGTGCTCTTAACCTCTGAGCCATCTCTCCAGCCCCATAATTTTTAAAAAGAGTAAGCAAATTACTAGATCCATACCAAACAAACGAGACAAAACCAAAATACATGATAACCGGATGTTGAGATGGCTCAGTGGGTAAAAAAGTGGCCTAACAACCTGAGTTTAATGCCTAGGACCCAAATGATGGAGGGAGGGAACTGATTCCTGCAAGTTGCCCTCTGACCTCCACATGAGCACTATGTATGTATGGTATGTGTCTCAGCCCCCTGCCTCTACTTCCCTAATTACAAAAATAATTTTTAAAAAAGTAAGGAACTAAACTGGGCATGGTGGCGCACGCCTTTAATCCTAGCACTTGAGAAGCAGAGGCAGGCAGATCCTGTGAGTTCGAGGACAGCCTGGTCTCATAGTGAGTTCTAGGACAGCCAGGACTATGTAGAGAGATCCTGGCTCAAAACAAACAAGCAAGCAAACAAACAAAACTAATGGACTGGGAAGATGATCAGCAATTAAAAGTGCTTACTGCTCTTCCAGAGGACTGGGGTTCAGTTCCTAGCATCTACACGGTGGCTCCCAACTGTCTGTAACTCCAGTTCCAGCAGACCCCATGCCCACTTCTCACCTTTGCAGTCAATGGCCTACATGTTACACATATATGCCTGCAAACAAAACACCCATGCACATAAAACTTAAACAAATCTAAACCTTAAAAATTATAACTACAAATATTTATAATTATTATAAAATATTAAGAGAATAAATACTGCCAGGCAGTTGTGCACATCTTTAATCCCGGCACTGAGGAAGTCAGATCTCTGTGAGTTTCAGGCCAGTCTGGTGTACAGAGCGAGTTCCAGGACAGCCAGGGCTACATACAGAGAAACTCTGTCTCTATAAACCAAATAAATAAAAATAAACAAATAAAGATAATAAAACAAACTAGTGAATACAAAGTGACATGGATGTGGTGACACACCTTCAATTCCAGCACTCTGGTAACAGAGACAAGTACATCTCTCTGAGTTCCAGGTCAGCCAAGGATACATAGTGAGACAATGTCTCAAAACACAGACACAGACATAGACACACACAAAATACACAATGTAATTATCTTAACTGTCAACTCCATTGGCTTAAGAAAAGCCTAGGTTCGTTATTAAGGCACACCTCTGGCTTCCTAGAGACAGATCATGAGGACTGAACTAATCAATGGATGAATGCGATGGCATCACTGGGACACTGTGAAAAAGAGGTAGGGCTAGTTGAAAAAGGTGACTAGGAGCACATCTTCTCCTGACTCTCTCAAGTATCTCTTTCTTTCCACTCCTGTTCCAATGTGCTTCTGTTGCATCTATATTTAAGAAGACACTGGTCTATAATTAATTGTCTTGTGGTATTTTCGCTAGGCTTTCATTAATGGATCATGGTGACCTCATAAAATGAGTTGGGAAGGGATTCTTCAATATTATGGAGAAGTATGGGGTAGACCAGTGCTAACTCTTTTTTTTTTTTTTTTTACTATATATCCAAAATGTGTTTATTGGGATGACTCCCACTCATCTTGAATCAGATGCTTTTCAATGCTGCTTCCTCCTGAAGCAGCATCCTTCTGTCAGTCAGCCTTGCTTTCCGCCTGTAGGCTGACAGAGGACAGTGGACCCGCCAACACACAAGACTACTGTTTGTGCATGGCTGAAGACTGTGGTGACTTTATAGCATCCTGGGCACTTCACACTCATAAAGTAGGAACTGGGGCTCTGCACCAGTCGCTTTTTCTTGTGTTTCTTCTTTTCCTCTTCTGGAGAGGGATGAAGAAGAGGCATCTTCTCGTAAGGAGGTCGGTCATTGCCAGAAAGGCCACTGCTAACTCTTTAAATGCTTGGCACAATTTGCCAGCAAAGTAGAGACTCTGGTCCTGAAGTTTCTTTGTTAGAAAGTTTATGAACACTTTTGGCAATCTCTACTTGTATTGGGTCTGTTGAGATTTTCAATTTCTTCCACCATCATTTGGGTAGCTTGTGCATTTCTAGAAATTGGTTCCTTTAATATAGATTTTTGTAACTAAAGATGAACAACTTTTCATAAAATTCCCTTATGATTTTTTAAAAATTTCTTCTACATCAGCAGTCATGCCTCAATTCTAATTTCTGACTATGGTTATCTGCATGTTCCCTCTGTTTTTCAATGAGTTTGCTCTAAGTTAAGGAAGAAATCATTGGGTTTTTTTGCTTGTTTGTTTTTTTTTTGGTTTTTCGAGACAGGGTTTCTCTGTATTGTTTTGGAGGCTGTCCTGGAACTCACTCTGTTGACCAGCCTGGCCTCGAACTCAACATAGATCCGCCTGCCTCTGCCTCCCGAGTGCTGGGATTAAAGGCATACACCACCACCGCAGGCTAGAAAGAAATTATTGTGAAGTATAGTCAACACATTCAGCTCTCTATGTGAGCCATTCTTGCTCCTCTTGCTTGATGACAGAGCCTGAGCTTGTTGAAGCACTGACAACTTTTGTATAGGACTGAGAGATAAGCTGTGACTAATTTAAAGCAGTATTAGAGTAGGGATGTCATTCCCCTTGCCAGTGATTGAATCAGGGGTTACCAAAGGTTTTAGCTCTGACATGTAAGACTCATAGGCACATTAGGATCTTGGGTTCTGGTGAATTTGAAAATTTTTTCCCTTTGTCCTGAAAACTAAGTGAGGTACAGATGGGTGGTGGTGATGCACATATTTAATCCCAGTGCTCAGGGAGACTGAGGCAGGTGGATCTCTGGGAGTTCCAGGCTAGCCTGGTCTACAGAGTAAGTTCCAGGACAGTCAGGGATACACAAAGAAACCCTGCCTCAAAAAATGAAATAAAACAAACCCCCCCCCCCCCAAAAAAAAATCAGTGAGGTATACTATTTTCTCTCTAATACCAAGATACCATTATTTTCTTTTTGCTTGTCATTTCTATTTATCTTTGGACTCCAAGGAATTAAACTACCTGAGATTCATGTTCTCTTTAAATCTGGGTTCAAGTTGTTTCCTGCCTATAGTTCAAGGTTTTTTTTTTATTAAAAAGCAAAATAGGGCCGGGCATTGGTGGCGCACGCCTTTAATCCCAGCACTCGGGAGGCAGAGGCAGGCGGATTTCTGTGAGTTCAAGGCCAGCCTGGTCTACAGAGAGAGTTCCGGGACAGCCTCCAAAACAATACAGAGAAACCCTGTCTCGAAAAAAAAGCAAAATAGGCTGGGCATGCTGTTGCACACTTTAATTCTAGCACTTGGGAGGCAGAGGCAGAAAGATCTCTGAGGTTGAGACCAGTCTAGACTACACAGAAAGACCCTGTTTCCACCCACGCACAACTGGTCTATACCAAGTTAATAACATTTTGGAGATGGGAGTTGGACTACTGAAACCACTGCATAATTATCATCTAGAGATTTACTCAATTGTTGTGAGTATACCCAGAATTCTGAGCCCAAACCATTAACATCAAGTAGCACTATAGCTAAGTACAACCTAATCATAGGATCTGCTCCAAGATTACCTCACACAACACTCTACTGCTCGAAACCAGTGAAGCATCTCGTCATGCAGAGTACACAACTGAAGACAAGAGAGAAAAACCTTCTCAGCATCACTGTACCAGCCCGCATCGGAAAGAAAGCCACCTGAAGAACAAGGAAATCAGCAACATTAAGTGACTCAGTAAACTGTGTGAAAGCTACAATGACATGTTTATAACTAAACGCTTAAACAAAACACTCCACAATATTAACTTCTTATGTTTAACTTTTAAAAAGTTTGATCCCCAGCACAGAAGGAAGGAATAGTAATTTGAATTAATAATTGCCTGAAACATACTTTTAACTCTGTAAAGTTGTGAAAACTGTTCAAGTTACAAAATTATCATAGTGAGTGCACACACACACTTACTTTTCCACAATATTTTTTTTTTTTTTTTTTTTTTTTTTTTGGTTTTATGAGACAGGGTTTCTCTGTTTTGGAGGCTGTCGGTCCAGCCTGGCCTCGAACACACAGAGATCCGCCTGCCTCTGCCTCCCAAGTGCTGGGATTAAAGGCGTGCGCCACCAACGCCCGGATCCACGATATTTTTTAAAAGTAGTTTCTGCTTCCCAGACTCTCTGGACATGGGATTGTAGGCTGGCGCTTCCCAGATCTATGTCTAAAATCCATATATGAGAGAGTACATGCCATGTTTCTCTTTTTGTGACTAGGTTACCTCGCTCAGGATGGTTTCTTCTGGTGCCATCCATTTGCCTGCAAATCTCAGGATTCCATTGTGGGTGTCAGTGAGGAGGCCTAGATAATCTATTGAGCCTTGGGCAGTAGATCAGTATTTACCCGGGGTATACAAATGGACTTTGGGCTCCCATCCAATAATGTGAGATGCACTCTCACCCTGAACTCTTGGGGGAGGGTCTAGGCCTTGCCCTGGATGAAATGACAGACTATGGACATCCCCATGGAGGGCCTCACCCTCCCTGGGGAAATGAGGAGATATTGGGGGGTTGGTGGGAGGGCACAGGAGGAGGGGAGGGAAATGGAGAGGGACCTGGAATTGACATGTGAAGCAACCTTGTTTCTAATTTAAATTTAAAAACAAACAATAAAAAAGTAGTTTCTGCTATCCTTACAAATATCTCCACAAAAATTAAAAATAAGCCAGGAGGTGGTGGCACATGCCTTTTAATTCCAGCACTCAGGAGGCAGAGGCAGGCGGATCTAGACCAGCCTGGTCTACAAGAGGTAGTTCCAGGCCAGCCTCCAAAGTCACAAAGATACCCTGTGTCGAAAAACCAAAAAATAGGTAGACAGACAGACAGACAGTCTGTTTAGACAGACAGACAGATAACTAGTTCTGAAAATCAAAAATAAGACCCTAAAAAGATTTAAGTCTCATTTCACAGTTTACAGTAAGCAGTTAAGAATCTGGTGACAGCATGATATAGCAGAAAGACGTGCTGCGGGATCATAGAATTCTAAACATAGCTCACTAAAAGCTATGAGCTGATCCATTTACTCAACTTCTTTAAGTCTACTTCTGTATATGTGAATACTATTACTGTCACTGTGCTGGAATGCCATGAGAATTCAGGAAGACACCACTTACATGCTGAAGTTGAGTAGGTCACACCTAGGTATGACGGTTGCTCACAATCTGCCTATGCAGACCGTGGGAACTCTTGGAGGAACCCTTATCATTAGAAGGTTTAACGACAAGGCCATTACAGAATAAAACATTCCTCTACTTTGTCATTACTCACCTAATACAAAGCCAACTTGGATGGCCTTCTCCTTTACTGCAGCATCTGATTCTGCTATGTAAGAGCACCGTCTACTGAATGAGTAGGCCAAGACAGAAGCAACTTTAACACCATGATCCATCAAAGCCTGAAAACAATGATGGAGCAAATGTCTGAAAGAGAAGAGAAAGGTGATTCTAGAGAGGTAATTGATTTTGCCCCTTTAGAGCTAGCTGCTCCTCTATTAAATATAATACCACTGTTTTCCAAAACAAAAGGTGAGGCTAAGTCTGTAACCTGATGGCACTGAAGGATGGGGCTAGCTTTAAAAATTATATTTACTCCAATAATAAAGACAACTGGGCTGGGGAGATATCTCAGCACTTGCCACACAAGCCTGACAACCCGAGTTTAGATCCTAGACTACATATAAAAGCTGAGCACAACAGCTCAAGCTCTAGTAATCTCAATGCAACCCTATAAGGAGATGGAGGCACAAATAAGAGACTTGTTAGAAGATCACAGTCAGCTAGCCTGGCATATACATCAATGAGCATTAAGAAAGACACTGTCGAGACTGGCGGTGGTGGCACGTGCCTTTAATCCCAGTACTGGGGAGGTAGAGACAGGAGGATCTCTTGAAATTAAGGCCAGTCTGATAGGACAGCCAAAACTACACAAAGAAACCCTGTCTCAAAAAACAAAACAGATGGAGGAAGAGGGAAGAAGGAAAGGGGGAGAGGGAGGGAGGAGAGGGGGGAAGGAGGAGGGGGAGGGAGAGAGACAGAGAAAGACTGTCTCAAGTAAGGTATAAGGCGAGGACCAACCTCCAAAGCCTCAAAACAAAACCATCACATCCCTTGCTAAGCACTTTGTATGTATTTATAAAAGTATGTTCTTTGACTTTTTCCCATAATATAAAGTATGACTATTATTATCATTTGTTCTTCAAGGTTTTTCATTAACTTATAATTCCCAAGCCATGGAATTTGCTATCATAGCATTCAGTGATCTTTTGTCTACTCACAAATATTAATAGCAAAAACATTCTGGAAATGTCTATTACTGATGGCTGAACAAAGTAAGTGTACTTATTCAATACCACTGAACTATATACTATTTTAACACTTTATGTGTGTGTTTTGCCTGCATGTATGTCTATGTACCACATGTATGCCTGCTGTACTTGAAAGGCCACAAGAGGGTGTTACACCCCTTGAAACTAGAGTTTCATTATAGGTGCTGTCCTATAGGTGCTAGGAATTGTGTCTGAGTCCTTTGGGAGAGCAGCCAGTCCTCTTAACCACTGAACCATCTCTCCAGCCTTGAATTATGTATTTTGAAGGTGTATAAGCTGCAGATTTTATAGTATATATGTTTTAGTAGGCTTTTTTTTTTTGTTGAGACCCTGTCTCCCATCTGTAATTCAAGCATTCATGCAGTAGGTGAAAGAGGATCAGGTTAGCAAGTTCAAGGCCATCTTGGGCCACTAGAGACTCTGAAAGAAGGACAGTCAAATTTACGAACACTAGTACACATGTACACAAATTTACCTTTTATCCAAAGCTCTCAAGACTTTAGCAAAAACTTCCAATTCACAGAATTCACTGCCCAGTTGACATAAGCGTCCCTGTTGGTAAAGCTGTTAAAAAAAAAAGATTATTTCAAACTTTTTAATGTTACTTGCTATTCTGTGATGATAAAAACTGGATTTAATAGAGGATTTTAATGATTGACTTTAAGTATTAATATACAGCAATATCAGAATAGAGGCTGACATAAAGAAAAATCTAATGAATTAGCATAGCACCTGGAACATAATAAAGCAACAAGAAGCAGTATACAACTATATATTTATCATATATAAGCCCATCACTTAAGAAACTTAAATGTTTCTTTTTTTCTTTAAACAAAGCTGCATAATTTTAAGTTATTAATATAACAGCAAAGACAGATCTAAAATAAACAGCTTGTTGATATGTGTTCTATTGGGGCCCTTCAGCCAATTCAAATACTCAGCTTAGTTCTGCATGTATTTCATAAGCACTAATGTTATATAGTACATCTATTTATAGATCCAAGATGATAGGACTTAAGTACATCTGTCTTGTTAGAACTGGCTTTTTTTTTGTTTGGTTTTTCCAAACAGGTTTTCTCTGTGTATACCTAGCTGTTCTAGAACTCGCCCTGTAGACCAGGCTGGTCTCAAACTCACAGATCACCTGCCTCTGCCTCATGAATGCTGGGATTAAAGGAGTACACTACCACTACCCAGCAGGAACTGGACCGCCAAGATGGTTTAGAGGATAAAGGAGCTTTATAGCTTAGGCTGATGACTGGAGTTCAATCACAGGACCCATATGTTGGAAAGAGAGAACCAGTTTCCCCAACTGTATACACATTATGTATACAAATATGAAAATAGTTTAATTAATAACATGTTAAAAAACAAATATGAATAGGGCCTTGAAAGATGGCTCATCAGTTAGGAGACTAACTGCTCTTTAGGGGACTCAGGTTCAGTTTCCAGCACTTACATAGTGGCTCACAACTGTCTGTAACTCCAACAGAGGAACCAATATTCTTCCAGCTTCCTTGGGCACCAAGCAAACACATGATACATAGATACAAATTCAGCCAAAGCACCCATACATAAAATAAATGAATGACATTTTTTGTTTTACGAGACAGGGTTTCTCTGTATTGTTTTAGAGGCTGTTGGACCAGGCTGGCCTCGAACTCACAGAGATCCGCCTGCCTCTGCCTCCCGAGTGCTAGGATTAAAGGTGTGCGCCACCACCGCCCGGCATGAATGACATTTTAAAAAAGAAACAAATTCAGTTTTATTATTTTCCCTGGCCTCAATTTATATGTGATAAATATATAGTTGTATACTCAATACTTTTGAACATATGTATATCACACAGTACCTTAAGACCCAGAAATTTTGTTATCTTTGTACACTTTTTATTACAGCTACTTAACACTAAGCTGATGACAACATTAGTTGCAAAAAAGAAGGCAGTTTGTTCATAAAGCAAACATCCTATAGTAAAATTGAAGACAACTATTGTCAGGACAATGAAAGCCAGCTCCAACCACAGAAAACATGGGGAGTTAAGAAAGAAAGGAATGAAAGCCTTGATTCTGAACTGGCACAGCAGCTCCCCAAGTGAATTCAAAATTAACCACAGACTGAAAGTAACAGCTTAGTTGTAATATCAAATTAGCACACAAATCAAGTAGTCTAATTTCTAATAAAAATATGAAAATTTTAATAAAGGGTATAAAAGAAATTGAGTGCAAGGCTGGGTATGGTAACACATACCTTTAATTTCAGCACTCAGGAAGTAGTCTGGCCTATACAGCAAGTTCTAAGGTAGTGAGAGCTACATAAGGGAAACTATGTCGCAAAGAAAAGAAAACAAAGAAGTCCAAAACTATTGTATTAGAAAACAAAACAAAAATAATCAAAGCAGTTGAATGAGCATACATAAATATACAGAAACTCATCTATCCTGTTTATGGTTGTAAGTCAATAAACAGTAAAAATAAACCAAAACAACAACAACAAAAAACTTCAGAAATGAGAGGGACTTATTACCAAGGAAAAATTTCCATGATACACAAAAACTAAGCAAGCTCCCCCCAAATTGGGAGTAATACCATTCCATCTATGTTTGAATGTTGTGTGTCTACAATATATATGCATATATAAAATTTTGAAATGATAGTTAATAGAAAACCTGGTTATCTTTCTACACCCTCAAGGAGAGGACTGCTAAAGAACAGGGTACTGTTTTCTTCAAAGGTGCAGCCACAGAGAACAACCTAATGGCAGAAGTAGTTTAGTGGTAATGGAATGAAGACAATGAGGGTGATTATAACCACAATATAGTGTATGTGTGTACATGAATCTGTCAACAAACACATTTTAAAAGTTTACATATCTGCAGTAAATCTCCACTTCCACCATCACCTCTTTTACTTCCATTACTGTAGCAGTCTGGCAGACCTCGTCTCCCCATTGCCCTTGTCACCCTTAGTTTTCTACACACTAGCCAGAATGAGCCCTTAAAACAGTAAAAAGAGATTGGGTATAGTGAGTTAGAAGCCAGTTAGAGCTACCTAGTAAGACCTTGTCTCAAAATAAAATAAAAAGTAAATTGGTGGGCATGTGGCACATGCCTGTAATCCCAGCAACTGGAAGGGCAGAGGCAGGAGGGCTGCCATGAGTTTGAGATCAGCCTAATCTACACAGTAAGTTCTAGTTCAGTTGCTTAGAACTATATAGTGAGACAATAACTCAAACAACAACAAAAACCACCCTAAATATGCCATTCCCTTTTAATGTTTTTTTAATTGCAGGTTTTTCTTTAATATTTATTTTTATTTTATGTGAATTGGTGTTTTGCTACATGTGTCAGGTTCCCTAGAAACTGGAATTACAGACAGTTATGAGGGGCCATGTGGGTACTAGGGATTGAACCCAGGTCCTCTGGAAGAGCAGCCAGTGCTCTTAACCACTGAGCCATCTCTCCAGCCTACCATTTCCATTTTAAATCTTCCTTATTCTTGCACTCCCTGTGCATTTAGAACATATCCAAACTCTTGAATGTAACCAACTACTGAAAGTAATCTGCCCTCACCTTCTCTTCTGTGGCCCAGTGCGTACCTACACTCCCACCACCTTAGCTCTCAGTTCTGACTTTTGGAAATGTAAGTCATTGTCCCATATTAAGCACAAGCACCAGAATTCTTTGGTTACTTTATAACTCACACTGTCTCTACTACCATGCTACTTTCTTGTGGAGCTCTTTCAGATTTTCAATTTATTATATTTTTTCCATGATACAGTGTGCTGTCTTCCAGAAGCAGACTCAGGATATACATGCATCAACCAAAAAATGCATCTGTGAACCATCACTCCATTAGGTTCTTCATTCTATGAAGTGGCTTCAGTCACTACTATATCCCCAATCCTTAGCACAATGCCTGGTACTAGATATGCATTTAAATTTTTGGAATGAGTAATGCAAATTGGTAGTTACCATAATCTCTGGATGGAACTTGGAACTCAGAAGACAAAATTCAAGACAGTTTATACTTTGTAGTTTATAATTAGCCAATCAAGTATTCAGTATTGTTAATTATTTTTTATTCAGAAGTTGGTGAATATGATATTAAGGAAAATCCCCAGATTTTACACATAGGTATATTGCTCCAACCATGTTATAAACACATTAATGAAAATGTTCTAACAACTTAGCTTTTTGTCTTGTTTTGTTTGTTTTTCAAGACAGGTTTTCTCTGTGTTACAGCTCTAGCTGTCCTGGAACTCACTTTGTACACCAAGCTTGGCCTCGAACTCACAGAGATGGACTGCCTCTGCCTCCCAAGTGCTAGGATTTAAAGGCATGTGCCACCACCGGGTTTATACTTAACTTTTCACAGTACCTTAAAAAAATTTTTTTTTTTTTTTGTTTTCGAGACAAGGTTTCTCTGTATTGTTTTTGGAGGCTGGCCTCGAACTCACAGCGATCCTCCTGCCTCTGCCTCCCAAGTGCTGGGATTACAGGCGGCACAGGAGGATCGCTGTGAGTTCGAGGATGGGCTGGACCGACAGCATCGAAAACAATACAGAGAAACCCTGTCTCGTAAAAACCAAAAAAAAAAAAAAAAAAAAAAAAAATCTAAGTATTTGGCTTTATTGTTCTCTCTTGCTCTCTCTCTCTTTTTTTAAAATACTTTTTAAACAGATTTTATTTTGTTAATTTTGGTTTTTTGAGACAGGATTTCTCTGTGTAGTCCTGGCTATCGTAGAACTTGCTCTATAGACCAGACTGGCCTGCCTCTGCCTCCCAAGTGCTGAGATTAAAGGTGTGTGCCTCCACCTCCTGGCCTTTCCAGCCCCCTTTAAAAAAATATCTGTATTAATTTTTGAGGATGTCATACAATGTATTTTGGTCATATTCAATCTTGCCTCCCGCAATTCCTTCCAGATCCAGCCCCCTTCACTGCCAAGTTCAATTTGTGTTAGACATATTCTCTTGGCTGTAAAGCCATCCATTGATGCTTGGGTTCCAACAGCCACATCCTTAAAGAAAAATCAACTCTTCCTCTCCAATGGCTGTCAGTTGCCAACAGCTCCTCACTCCATGCTGGTATTTTGTCTAGCTTGAAGCAGGACTTGTGCATGCCTTCACAACTGCTGTGATTCACATACACAACTGCCCTGCTGTTTCATTGTGATTATCTACAATCTCTGACTCTTACAGTCTTTTTAGTTTCTTACTCTACAATGAACCTGGAGCCTTGGAAGGAGAGAGTATGAGCTAAGAATTAAACAGTCTTATTCTCTGTACCTTGTCCAGTTGCAGATCTCAACTGTGCTGTGTGTGTGTGCATGCGTGCGTGCGTGCGTGCGTGTGTGTGTGTGTGTGTGTGTGTGTGTGTGTGTGTGTGTGTGTTTTAAGTAACTTTTTTAGGGCAAAGCTGGTAGAACAGCAACCTCACTTTTCTACTTAAGAGACTATGACAAAAATGAAAAAAAATTGAGAACAAATTATGAATACGGTTACTTTATAGATAAAAATAGATGTTTCCTATTTTAACACCAGATTAAGGCAGATTCATTTCATA